AAAATAAAGCTTTAGTCGCATCTTTTAACATTTTTCTACATAAACAATGATTTAATAACAATTTTAGGCTTGCGACGCTAACATGTAGTAATTATGTTTTTTTTTTGGTTTGTACCATGCATAGTATCCTCTTAGCCATGGAGGTTAGCTCCGTGCTCTAAACTCTATGCTAAATCCCTTACTTCATGGAGTTAATTTAAAACCTTTTTTTATAGGTCCCGATGGTACCCGCTGTCGGCCGGTCTATGCCTGGCTAACAAGACCCCACCTGTACCAACCATGGATCCAGAGGTAAGTTGTGATTAACCTTAGTTCATGTGATGTTAGCTTTTTTGTGTTGTAGGTTTTTTCATTCTTTACTAGGTTCTACTGTACTGCTGTATTTCGGTATGAGTATATATATATATATATATATATATATATATATATATATATATATATATATATATATTATAAGAAATTATAAAAAATTATGTATATATTAATATTATTATATTAATTTATACGTCTTTAATCTATAGAGATTTTGTTCGCACTTTTAGCTACAATTGATATCGATATACTCGTTTTGTTTAGTTATTTATTTTTATTAGTATGTATACCTAAAAACACTTAAAATATTTAAAAAAATAGGGCTAGACTTATTATTATTCAAACGACCAAGTAAATTGTTTTCTAAATCAAGTGATGATTATTATTATACCACATTTTAAATATTCGTTTCGCAAAGTTTGAAAACTAATAATTAGGAAGGTATCACTACTTATTCTTGACAGACACACGGTACATGACGAATTGGATTCCATTTGAATCGCTCCATGTTAAAAGGGCATGATTCACCATTTTTGAAGAAATGTGTGCCGGACGGGCGAAACTCTCCGGAGTAAATGTTGTCGAAGATACTTCGCGAGTCGCTCACGTCCTACACCTATAGGTTTCGGTGGGTACTTTCACCACCGTCTTTGTGGGTGCCGCTGAAATATTGTGGACTGAGGTTCAAATCAAAATGCACGATTAATAAATACAAATAGCAAGGTAGTGGCCAGCGGTTCGACTGATTAATTAGTCGCGAAATTTTATAACTATTGACCACGGTTGAACTACGGTTGTTCGCTATTGGTTGGTCACTGTATATTTCAAAAGATTTCTTTAAATTGTACGGTGGTGATTTCTTATATTTACGCGAACACTACACATTGAAATAATACTAATTTTTTACGGAATTTATCGCGTATATTTAACTTTTTTACCCGACGTTTCGAGAGCTTTACAGCACCCATGGTCACGGGAAGACTGAGATGTTCAACGTCCAGCTGTCATAGTTAACCGCGGTTACCATAGATTAAAATTTAACTTTTGTTCCGATCTACACAGTATGAACTTATGGTATCATGGAGTCTTGCAGTTGTATGCTTGGGTTGGGATTTAATTTTATTTATTATAGGATCCCAAGCAGATGGTAGCACCCAGCCATCTTCTCTATTGAAATTAGGATGTTTTTTGATTTCAATAGCCTCGCGAATCATCCTTGGAAGGAATCGGTGTTCTTTAGCGAGGATTTGTGGTCTATCAAATCTGATGTAGTGACGGGGGGCGATCCTGTACATGTTCACAGACTGCAGACTTCCCGGAGCGTCGATTCTTCACATCAGCCTGCAGTCTGTGAACATGTACAGGATCGCCCCCGTCACTACATCAGATTTGATAGACCACAAATCCTCGCTAAAGAACACCGATTCCTTCCAAGGATGATTCGCGAGGCTATTGAAATCAAAAAACATCCTAATTTCAATAGAGAAGATGGCTGGGTGCTACCATCTGCTTGGGATCCTATAATAAATAAAATTAAATCCCAACCCAAGCATACAACTGCAAGACTCCATGATACCATAAGTTCATACTGTGTAGATCGGAACAAAAGTTAAATTTTAATCTATGGTAACCGCGGTTAACTATGACAGCTGGACGTTGAACATCTCAGTCCTTCCCTTGACCATGGGTGCTGTAAAGCTCTCGAAACGTCGGGTAAAAAAGTTAAATATACGCGATAAATTCCGTAAAAATTAGTATTATTTCAATTGTACGGTGGTATCAAATATCTATTGGTAGTAGCTGGTTTTCTAACACTACTGACTAGCAGCTATTATCAACTAAACTAGCTGATTTTATCACTTGTGTAACTGCGAATATCAGTTACGACCTTTTTCGGCTAGCTAACACTTTCACTATATGTAACTGCGAATATCAGTTACGACCTTTTTAGGCTAGCTAACACTTTCACTATATGTAACTGCGAATGTCAGTTACGACCTTTTTCGGCTAGCTAACTCTTTCACTATGTAACTGCGAATGTCAGTTACGACCTTTTTCGGCTAGCTAACACTTTCACTATTCACTATATACTGCTACTAGTCACTTCAGCTACCACCGGATACCACTCACTTCACTTCACTTGTCACTGGTAGTTCTTCACACTACTACTGGTACTGGGTCCCGAGCCCCTAAGGTAGACTTTAGCAATACTTTACAGTGAGCCGCTTGTATTTTCCGTTTTGCCTCTTTATTGCATAAACATTTCACTATACAAATGGCATAAATTGCAATATTTTCTATACAAAACTAATTGCTACACTAACATGCTATACATCATTAAATCGGTAGTCTGGTACTTTATTAGTATATCATAAAGGTTACTAAAAACATTCACATTGTAAAAAGTTATTAAACGAAATGTCCCAAATTTTCATAATATTTGGGTACATTAATTCTTTAATTTTTATATAACTATCAAATGCGTTTAATTATACAAAATATTCCTACACTTCTGTAATCTATAAGCCATATGCTAATTCAATGTCATATTTATAACTCTTTTAGAACATAAAATTATTTTCATTATTTTTGGTTTGGACTATTACGCAGTTAATTAAAAAACTTCTAGAGAGTTCTACGATAAGACGCGCTGTGATTGGTAGATTTTTCTTAATACAATAAAAGTTGTTTACATTACTTGTTATCAAAACGACATTCTATACAATTACAAATATATTAAGAGTTGTAAATATGCTAAACAACTATGTTAATACACGTTTTCATCCAGTTTTGTCGGTAATTTCATTATTAATACAAAAAAACAATATTGTTTATAACTTTGTTTCTTAACGTTGTTAGGCCGTCGCGAACAAAATGTGTTTGTGTTGTGAAATGTGAAATGAAATTAGAAAACACTCCAATACACCTTTTCGAGACGGGTTGGCATCGAAAGAATATCAGTCTATTCAAATACGAACAAAAAATTAGGACTCTAATTTAAATTCCATGTAAAAAACTGCGTATGTCCACTGACTGTCGGCCTTTTTACAAGGAATCTTTTTGGCAACATATAGAACTGTCATTGTGTCCAAAGAGAATTTAGTATGTTCAAGAGGAAGTTAAAAGCCTATGATCGTTATTATACCGTTCATAAGATAACATAGCTTATAATAGAAAGCGGGCAACCGGGAAAATTTATTGTGATAGAGGTAAAAACAGAAGAAATTGTAGATTTTAAACTGTGGTGGCCGGAATTTTATAAAAGGCAGGAAAGTAAATTTTAGGATAAGTAACACCACCAACACACATATGAATATGATAACAGATATAAAGGATATATCGAAGCCAAAGAATTCATTGATGGTTTTATGGTTCAAACTTTTGACTTAGGCCGCAGAAATCATATTTCAGACAGTTTTCCTTCAAGGCGAGCTTATGAATAGGGTTATGTGCTCCTCATACGTCTAAAGCATGTAGATCTGACAAAGGTTTTTACCCATGTGCCTGACGAGAACCAACAGTTTTATCAGGAAATCTTGAGACGTCCTGAGAGGAGTCATCGTCAATGACAAAATTATGGACAATTAAACTAAAATTTGTCTTTTATTATGTTTTATTGTCAAATAATAACATTATAGTTCATATTAATAAATAGTATTCTTAATAATCGCTATATTTTTTATAAATATCTATATTAGATGCTAAAAGGACATCAGTCTTCAAACTTTAAACAGGAATATCATAAAAAATATTCTAAATTTAAGTATAAAAAACCCAAATCATGAGGGTAAAGCTTACATATAAAGCAAAGTATACAAAAATAATATGTAATTTCTTTGACTTATTTATGAGGGCTAAGTTTTTTCTTCTTTTTTGAAAGTTAGTGTGTCTGCACTACTGCCCTTTTAACATGGAGCGATTCATTTGTAATGCCAATTTTATATGCTGACTCAAATCCGCCAAAGCTTGGCACGACTGCTTTCTAGATCTCGACAACAATGTCATTTATCGGGTCCAATTGTAAGTGTGAATGTTCATCGAAATCTGTCCAGCCTTTCTTAAGTGATGGTCCTTCATACATGCGGTAATCAATTTTTATTTATATAAATTTATCTATTGATTACCAGAAAATATAAACCATCGACTATATTCAACAAATCTTTACCGGCTTGGATGAAAATATTTCTTCTAAATCATAAAGGTAAGGCAGGATCTTTCTAACGTTGAGTAGCGGCAGAGAAAAAGAATTCAGTACCTTCTACCAACATATATATATATATATATATATACATACTTAGAAGCCCATACCATCCCGTGAGTATTGTAAAAGACGACGGAGAGAAATAAAACGTGAGATAGGCAACAGTATCTTCGTGATACCAACTCAAAATAATAAAAATTACGGTTAATACGTACGGCAAATATTCCCACTACGTTCAGCAATGTACTTTTGATTAGCTATAATTAGTTAACCCATTTAAAGGCTAGCGATGCCATTTGGCATCATTCAGGAGAGGTTTGAATTTTCGCGCCCTGAGCTGTCAAAACAAAATCAAATGTAATTAGTCCGCATCTTATCTATAGGTTATGGATTATTGGTTCACTCTATGACAGTTTCAACCAATCAGGATACGCAATTTTTTTCTACAAATACTCTAAAGTTTAGTGTTGAAAAAAGACGTCGAAAAATGGATTACGTTTTTAAGTAAGTAACTTTTATGTTCATATTATGAAATTAAAATGTATGTTTAACCATTTGGGTATATTTAATAATAGTTTACCTACGATGTGATACGTAATTTGTAGAAAATTGACTTATAGTGAAAGCAATATTAAGAAAAAATACGAGTTGATGCCGTATGGCATCGCTAGCTCAATACCGTATTCACATATTGAAAACTTTCTTCGATAATCGTTTTTATATTATTTTCTATTTTTACTTATGCTTGTTTTTTTTTTCAAACTATTATAATTTCTATATCTATTATATAGTAATAATTTGTTATCTTCGTTATAACTATTAGATTTTATTTACGTTTTGATTTTATTTTTACAGATATTGTACGCTTCACGAAACCATTAGAGTTCTAGAAGACGAGGAAGCGGAACCAGCGTTGATTTATATTGAACCACCTGATCCTGCTGCATTAACAGATGAGGATTCAGTGGACAAAGACGAGGGCCCCCCTCGATTAGCTAATAATTTATCTGGACGCCAATTGAATACAAGATGTGAGGTAAGATTGGCACCACGAAGAAGTCCTAGTCCTCTTGTGGATTTTAGTAAAGATAAGGAGAGTCCTGTAGCCTCCACTAGTAGATCTTTAACTACACGTGGTCGTGGTGGTCGACGTCACTCACGTGGCAGAGGGCGCAGTCGCATGCTACGAGAGAAAAGTGCCCGCTATCAAGGTAAAACCACAAACACCCGTGACAGCTCTTCAAGTTCGGTGAGTGACGCATTATCTGATGATAACAGCGTGCCAGTTACTAGAACATCAAAAAGACCGAAAATCTGGGTACAGGAAGATCTGAATTGATCTTTTTGTAGGATGATTGATCTGATTGTAGGATGATCAGACTTTTTAACCAAATTAGCGATCTCGTCGACATTAACCATGTTTCATTGGGAAAGTTTCGAAAGGCTGTCTATATGATAGGTACCTCAGATTATAAACATTTGCCTTGTTAAACACTTTTTCCTTTTTTTTTTTAAATTTTTAATTTTTTTTAAATATTGTAAATCCATACCTTGCCGCTCTGTTTTTGGTCAGTATGTTTTAGTGCATTTTATAATAGCAATACTACAGTGTTTTTATTCAATAAGTATAAATTCGTCTTGTAATTGTCGCGATAAAAGTTATGCATGTGGTGTTTACCTGTAATTGACTGTGTACTTAGTTTTTTTTACTATATCGCTTGATTTATATGGAAAGATGTTAGTGCATAAGTTATTGGTAAACCAATTAAAATAAAAAAAATAAAAATAAAAAATCTGAAGGACAATATGGTAATTTTTCCGGAACCTGATTACTCACAGTATCGTGAAAAAACACCAGTTGAAATGTTTAAACTCTTCCTTGATACCGATTTTTTTTGTAATGATTTTATCCGAAACTCAAAAATATGCTGCTTTTGTGAATTGTCTAGATCCTAAAATTACAATTAATGAATTGGTGGCATTTATAGCAATATTAATAAATTCCGGATATAACACTGTTCCATCAAAAACTCACTACTGGGACCAACATGACGACATGAGAAATTACTTGGTATACAACTGCATGAGACGGGACAGGTTCAAAACTATAATGCGTTTCATACATTGTGCTGAAAACACACAAATAGATCCTTCTGATAAGCTGTGCAAGTTGAGGCTTATGATAAATTTCCTTAAAAGGAAATTCAAAACTATGTACCTTGTTCTAACCTGAATTATGATGAATCAATGATTGAATATTTTGGAAAACACGGGTGCAAACAATTTATTCGCGGCAAACCAATTAGGTTTGGATTCAAAAATTGGTGTTTGAATACTCCATGGGTAAATGGGTATTTATTAGACTCTGAAATATATCAGGAAAAAGTGTTCAAGAAAACGTAGAGTATGACAAGCTCTCACAAATCAAAATGATTGATGAGATGCCCTCCAAGACTCGCGTCCGGACCGCGCTGGCAGTCGGTCACGTCCGGCGGTCGTCTGCTCTCGCCCGGGTGGGAGAAGAACCTACAGCGCGTCGCTTCGCAGTGGGTGCACGTGCTGTGGGGCCAACTCGGCTTGCATAGAGACTCGCCCGGGATGTTACATACCCAACACTGCGCATAATCTACATGCTGGGAAGCGAACTCTGAAGGCCCGGCGCGCTGCTGGGAGCGCGCGCCTGTTGGTGACTTCGGCTCCGCGTCGAGATGAGTCTCCGCGGGACCTGGAGGTTGCTGACCCTTCGGCAGATCCCTTCCCAGAGGCGCGAGTTACGCCAACTTCTGCCTAGGGATACCAGGTCTTTATCTAGAGCCACTGGAGTACTGGAGGCTCGGAATGCTGTTATCAGGAGCGCACTCCTGTCGGCAAGATTGGCGCTGCGTCGACTCCTCCTCGGGACTCCGCGGGGCTTCGAGACGGCTGACCCTCCGGTAGCACCTACCTGTTGGCGCGCAATACGCCAAAGAAGATAACCTACAATGTCGTACAATGTACGGCTCCCAAGACCGGCTCATAGAAATGGGCTGTGAGGATTACCCGGGTAATGGGGAACTCCCCGAGGCCCGAACCTGCATGGGATAAATAATAGTAGTCCCATTGTAGATGACAATACGAAGATGCCCTCCAGTATTCAATCGTTACCAATGAGTTTTTGTCACGACAATCTTTTCACTAGTTTTGAATTACTTTGTGACTTGAAACGACGGGGTTACCATGGAACGGGCCCTGTAAGAGAAAATAGGCTTCCTAAAGACATACCTGACTAATAAAAAAGATTTCATGTAAGAACCTCGAGGCAGTTTTGTATACACAAAGAGCAAAGGAGAAGGTGTAATTGTGGTGCGATGGAAAGATAATTCTGTTGTTACAGCCATGTCAACCCGTTACTGTGTGGAACCACTCTCCAATGTGACAAGGTATTCTGCATCCGATAAGAAGAAGATACAAATGGCCGAGGTGGCCATCTGTTTATACAAACTATAATAAATACATGGGAGGCACAGATTTGATTGACCAAAAGCTCAATACCTATAGAATTGGCTTTAGAGGCAAAAAATGGTGGTAGCCTATTTTTACATACCTGATGGACGTAACTATTTGTAACGCCTGGGTTCTTTCAAGGTGCGCTGGTAGTTCTTTAAGCCAGCTGGACTTTCGGAGACATATTGTTCAAACATACTTGCATCAATTTCGAACCCTTCCTAGATCAGGCGGTCGTCCATCTACATCCAAATTTTCAAAAATAGGAAATAGAGTGGCTGATGAAATACGCTACGACGGTATAGGTCATCTGCTGGTACCATTGAGGGGGAAAGCGAAAAAGGTGCGCGCTGGAAATCTGTAAGAGCTAAACTAGGGCAGAATGCCGAAAATGTAGTGTAGCTCCCTGCCTTTCTTGTAATTTTCAATAACATACTAAACTCTTTATAATATCATAAAAATACTGAATTACAGATAATTTTTTTTAATTAACTTAATTCTTGTTTTATTTTCAAAAAGCTATAAAATATTAAGTCCTTAGATTATAATGTATGAATTTCTTTTTTCTTACATTTTTATATAAGAAAAACAGCATCATAATTTTATACGAAATGCTAACATAAGAGGCTAGCAATGCCATATGGAATCATTGAATCAGTCAGGAATGAGACCAATTTTACGACTATGAGTTGTAGGACCTATTTAGCAACGCGATGAAAAAACTCAGCCTCTAATGGGTTTATGAACGATGGATTATATCTTGAGCGAACAGAGAGAAAACGGGTAATACGTTCGTAATCGATTTATTGGTAGTTATGACCTAGAGACAAAAGAGAAGGCAGACCGCGGTCGTACAATACTACTTTATGTGGAAAAGCTATGCTGCACCTATAATAGTTGTTGTACGAATGGGTTGGCTCGACCGGGGAGGGCCACGCTCTCATAGAATACCAGCGTAAAATGGCAACTTAAGACGGTTGTGTAGAGTGTAGAGAACAGGTGATCCTTTTTACTGGAGACGAGGAATTCCATCTTTGTCCTTGACAACGCATCTGCATTTTATTTTAAATCTAGGATAAATGTAGATGTCTATGGGCCACAGCATCGACGTACCATCAGGTGGACTGTGTGCTAGTTCGGCACCTATAATCTATAAAAAAACTGTCGTAGCAGTTCCCTCTGTGTACGTCCCGTGACTAAGTGTTGATTAAACAAAAAACAGTTATTATTTATTCATTGTAAAACCCATACTAAGCTTAAGGATAATTTGACAGAAATAAACCAGCTGAATTGAAGTAGATTTCATGGTGACCTTTTCACGATATATTTTAAATTATACAACAGTAGTACGAAATTCTCCATTATTCAACTACGTTTTGTTGTAAGATGTCGTTTATATCAATGAAAGTTTTTGGATGAAGCTTCCAAAAACTTTCATTGATATAAATAATTATTAGGAACGGGATTAATAAAAATCCTTAATTTTACTAAGTCATAGACTAAATGAATCTATCGACAACGCGTTTTGCTTTGCTATAATGGCAATCAATACTGATGTCTATGGAATGGAAAAACGGCACGGCAATCACCTTGTAAAAGAAAGAAGGTGAGAATAATATAGCTACCTTATTTTCTACTATGTTTAATATCATATGTATGAAGACTTCAGCTATAAGAATTTTGTTCCTATTTTAGGACTCTATGCTAGTCATTACTCTGCGTACAAAACAGAGGAAATGATAGGCTCAGAAAGGCTAGAACCAGAGCCGTAAAGCCAATTCAATAAAAAATAAAATAAAATACAAAACAGCGTGACCTTGAATGGAATTGTACCTACTATTTGGAACTGTCAAATAAGTCGTTTAGTTCATCTTATCAAATTATCAATTGAGAGGTTATAGTCTGGGATTATTGTAAAACATTCATATGTTAGCCTTATATTATATAGCTAAGTAAATAATGCAATATGCAGTAAATTTATTAGTTAGGTATATAACGTATTAATGAGATAAAACAAAAGGTAGCTGAAAGGACATTTATCGGAATGTCTTCTTCGTTCAGATCAGTTTTGTTCAGAGATTTTTGTGTTAAAAGACTATGGAGTGCTTGGACGCGAGGTTATATCCTAAGCTCGGTGATGCGACGTTGCCGGCGGGAGCGCGCAGTACGTGAAGTTTTGCAATGCTTTAAGCAGGCATTTCTCAGACCGCGGAGGACGTTGATAATGTCTGTCGCTGCGGCATATAATAGTCGAAGTGAGAATTCTTCGGATGGCGATGTTGGGATTACGGACGATGAGATGGAGGTATTATTTATTTCTTTAAATTTTGAGCATACACTCAGTAAATTAAGTTTTACTCCATAAAATAAGGGTGACAAACGAGCATACAGTCTACCTGATGGTAAGTGGATGCTGTGGCCCATAGACATCTACATTTATCCTTAATAAAGAATCAAAATGCAGATACATTGTCACCCCTAAGGACTGAGATGGAATGCCTTGTTTCCAGTAAAAAAGGGTCTCTGGATCTCTACACTCTACACAACAGTCTTAAGCTGCGATTTTACGCTGGTATTCTATGAGAGTGTGGTCCTTCCTGGTCGAGTCAACCAATTCGTACTACAACTATTATAGGTTCAGCGTAGCTTTTCCACATAAAGTAGTATACTGATATAACAGTGGTACGACCGCGGTCTGCCTTCTCTTTTGTCACACACCATACGAAACACAGCAGCATTGATCTGCTATTTTATGCTGGTATTTTGTGAGTGTGGTCCTTCCCCAGTTGATCTGACCCATTTGTACTGCAATCATAATATAGCCGCGTGGCTCTACCACATATAATGAAGTGAATTATATGATATTGTATACAAAAGAACAATAAACTAATCAAACTATGCACCTACTACATTTATTATGCTACTGTCTTTCACTAGCCGAGTGATTTTGGTTTGACATGTTTGTATAGACAGGGAAAAACCTACTAATGTTATTAGTAGTTAAATAAAAAGAAATACACCTACTTCAGGTGGTGGACTCTAGTCCGTCTTGGTACATATCATCCTCTGACATTTTTCTGATGATACAGCCAGTATTATTACAGGCTGTAAGGCTTTCTGTCTGCGTACTTAGCGGTGACAAAGGATCTGTACCTTTTTTTATTTGACGGTTGTAGGTACTTATATCCTTCATTCAAAAAACACTCAGATAGAATAATAGTAATAAAATATTACTAAAAGCTGCAGTAGCTCCATCAGGTTAAGTTTGTCACAAAATTATTTTAAATAAAATAAGTTTCAATTATAAAAATTGAAAATATAATAAATCCTATAAACAAAAAAAAAACTCAAACATGTCTAAAACCTACTGCTAGGAAACATGCTTTTAAATAAAAAAGCGGCACCCAAATTGGTTGACTAGTTTCAGAGCTATGGTGTCACAGACAGACATACACTTGTAGCGGTCAAACTTCTAACACTGCTCTTTTTTGTCGGGGCTTAATTAACTAAGCATTTGTTACATTTAGCTTGATATACCACTAACATACACAGCCTACAGCCTATTAATACTATTATATCCACTGCTTAATGTAGGCATATACTGACATATGGGGGGGGGGATATTTACCATAAATGGCATAATTGAACAGGCGTCTTGACAACTGCAGTTTTAAATTTTTAAGATGTTACTAGTCACCTCTTTTTTAGGGATTACAAATGAGCACACAGTCCGCCTTATGGTGAGTGGCTGTAGCATACGGACATCTACATCTATCCTTGATTACAAATCATAATGCATATGCATTGTCACCTGTGAGGACTAAGATAGAATGCCCCATTTCCAGTAAAATGGGTCTCCTGTTTTCTACACTCACCATACGAAACAGCAGCAAACGCTGGTATCCTGTGAGAGTGTGGTCCTTCTCCAGTGAGCCCAACCATTCGAACTATACTACTAATTTACCTGCAGCATGGCTGTATCTAAATTGCCTTTTATGACACCTGTTGTACAATATGGGGAACAAATTATTTTATTTTATATCTATTACAGAAGTTAAGGCATGGTATTTTTGTTATTTACATCTATTTTATAACTACTTGATTTGGTAATTTTGTTAAACTATTTAAATAGGTCTGCAAATAACTTTCAATTTCATAACATAGAGTAAAAGTTTTTGTGTGATTTACACAATGCATTCATGAAATACTTAACCCCTCAATCCCCTAGCGGTCTCATGAGTCCGCCATGCTACTCAGTCAAATCCCTAATCCCTAATTTCAAATAGATTCTATAATGCCAAACTTCTTCATAGAAAAATAGTCTCTGAATATAAGTTTTTATGGTTTAAAGTGCTGTGGGTGGGTGCATGTGGTCGCATGAGGCCGCTTGGGATTTGACGTACGCATTCCACAACTTGGGAATTTATGGTAATTGAGGGGTTAATACTGACAAAATCCAAAGCTTCCAAACGAACTGAAGTGACATGTATATTTACAGTCCACCTGATGGTAAATGGCTACCTCAGTTGATGGTTACATGCTATTAATAAAGAAGGCCACAGATGTTTTGCACCACCTAAGATGTAAGGCATTACTTATTATTTCTATCTAATACAAAAATAATGTAACTAATTACGAAACAAGCTGTGGGGGTATTTTACACATACCAAATTAAATCAAAAAGTGGGTTTTGTTTTACGCGAGTGTGTATATGTATATGCTTTAATATATGTTAGTGTGTGTCTTTGTGATCTTCAGTAGCCCTTACGGTTTGACCGATTGTAAACTTCGAGGTAATATTAAATTAGTCTTCATTCTCAAGTCTCATTGACTATCTATGATACCTTGGAGATGTTTTAGAAACTTTATGATGTTAGAACAATACAATGCATGCAATACTTAATATTAGAATCTTGGAGTATTTTTTTTAATAAATAAATAATTGCTTATTACCTGACTGTCCCGGAAAAAGGGTTATAAGATTTAACTTGTAATTGTCTTTCTGTTTTACTGCTTCACTTCCACACTGTTTTTTCGCCTGGTAGAATTAACATAGAAGTATGCACAGCTTGCTATTTTACTAGCTTCTTTAAGCCTTGTTTAAGGGAATAATTATCAAAATAATTACTAGTTTGAAATGAAAAGTAGGAGGTTTGGGTATGTACTATCATTTTACCTATTTTTATAGCCTGTCCTAGTAAGTGCAGTGTTGTATTTTTATTCGAAGGTTGTAAAGAACCAGTATTATTAGAGATAGTGACGCATTCTATCTTAGTCCTCAGATGGGGCAACATATTTGTAACTTTTCATTGACTTTTATATTACTGCGTAAGGATAAGCATGTGAAAATGGCGCCACTAAAGTGGTCCTAAAATAATCTTCTTTCAACCAAAGATAATTAGTACAACTGACCTGACTGTGCCAAACTCATTTGTGCATATTTGTTACCCTTATTCTAAAAGAAATGTTACAAGCAATATATTGTACTGTAGTTAATCTCATTTTGAGTATCAACAGAACTCTTTTAATGTTTCCAATAATAAAAAGTATTCATTCCACCAAACATATTTTATTAATATTGCAAATGGTTACTTCATTAAGAGTACCCTTAACCGACGAGCATGTATGCATAGGTATATGGATGTGGAAGAGGAGAGAGAGGTGTGTCAGGATTGTGCTAAATGGAAGTCTGTAATCTCTGCCTACCCCTCTGGGTGACAGGCGTGAGTGTTTATGTATATATGTATGTATATATATATATATATATATATATACATACATACATACATACATACATACTTATTTTTATGGTTACTTCATTACAACAGTAAATGTTAATTCTGATTATCTTCAACCTAGTTTATGATCCTTTAGGCCTGATTTGTAAATTTAATAAATGTTACATTCTCCAAAATCGTCCATATCCATATACAGGGTGGGCCTGAAAGTTTGGTGGATTTGAAAAAATCATTAAAAAAAAAGGACAAATATTATACAAACAAATCTTTATTGTAATAAGAATAGATACATGGGAAAGTTATTTTTTGAAAATGACATCCCCAAGATGTGCACCATTGTGCTGCAAACACTCCTCCAATCTGGATCTGAGATTATCGAAAACTCGCTGGCACATTGCTTTTGGAATAGCCGCCATTTCTTCTTCGATATTGGTCTTCAACTGGGCAATCGTGGTTGGATTATTGTGGTAAACTGTACTTTTCATGTATCCCCACAAAATAAAGTCTGGTGGTGTCAAATCCGGGCTTCTGGGCGGCTTTTCCTCTAAACCTCTCTTTTACAACTGCTATCGAAGCATCAGATGTATGGCATGTCACGCCATCTTGTTGAAACCATGTTGTACGATTATATCCTTTGAATTCTTGCAGTTGTGGAAAGAAAAAATCTCTTAACATGGCTGTATATCGGTCCGAATTTACGGTCACAGATTGGCCCCGCTGATTTTCAAAGAAATACGGACCTATGATCCCACGTGCAGAAATGGCTGCCCAAACCGTAACTTTTGGCGAATGCAGAGGCTTTTGATGTTTGTAACGTGGATTTACTGCAGCCCAGTAATGACAATTCTGTTTATTGACGTGACCATTCAAATGAAAATGGGCTTCATCGGAAAAAAGAATATTGTTGAAACTCCTAAAACGCTCCAACATTGTTTCGCAAAAAACATGGCGTAAATTGAGGTCATTTGGCTTCAAATCCTGCACTAATTGAATCTTATATGGGTGAAACTTAAGATCTTTCGTTAAAATGCGTCGCAAAGTTGTTCTGGATACAGCAAGCTCAGCGAAACGCTTGCGAGTTGATAGACCTGGATTACGTTGCACGGAAGTTTTAACTTCGTTAATTAATTCGTCTGTTCTTGTTGACCTTGGGCGTCCCGAACGTTTCTGATTGAGAGTTGACCCAGTAGACTCAATTTTCTGACCCAAGACCTAATTAAACTTTCATTGGGACACTGATTTAGTTCGTGTAATCCGTACTTAGAACGGTATACACGTCGAACAACAGTGCGTGAATCGTTATTTTGGTAATAATTTTTTACACAGAACGCACGTTGTGCACCAGTGAAGCGCTCCATGGCAACTAAATTTCCGCGAACCGAGCTACTTATTCCCACCTCCCGCGTCCAGCTACCGCAAACAGCTCCAACGTAATAGTTGTTCAAAAACCGTACGTCTTTTTGGCCCACCTGTACAAGGTGCATTTTTATATTACAAACTGGTGAGGACTTAAAATTATAAATCTTTAAATTGTTCATAAATAGTATAACTGGTATTTGTTTTAAATAAGGGGTTTCCAAATACTTCATCTACTACAAAACAGCTAGCAAAATAAAATGTGTAAAAGTAAGTGTAAAAAAGCATTTGAGAGTTCACACTAAAGTGTGGGCATCAGAAGATACTTATCATCACGTTAGTTCATTTGTTGTTTTGTCAAAATTAATGTTTAATCGTTCGTCTATAATGCGCTGCCATACCATTAACCAGATTGCAGTAAAACTTTGTCAACTTATACCTTGCACTTGCGAGAAGGTTACAGGCATAGCGTAATTAACTTAGACTAGTAGGTGGTGTACGTATCGTACCGACAAATATATTCACCTTCAATGAATGTCTTATCATTCCTAATTAAGCAATATAATCTTCCAAATTTAACACGATATTTCCGCATTTATTTCATAAATGACCTTTGCAATCTTGAACTTAACTCAGGTAAAATAATATCTTACGCAGATGATACCGTGCTACTTTTTTCCGCAAATACAGTTGACAAGGTTTATTCATATGCTCAGCAAGGTTTTGATAGAGTTAATAAATGGCTCCAACAAAACATATTAACACTGAATACGGACAAAACCAAATATATTCATTTTTCTATGCGCAGCTCAACCCAGCATATAACCATTCCAGAACTTTATGCACATCAATGTTACTCAGTCACAGAGTCTAAATGTTACTGCCCAGTTATTTCTAATACAAAAACTGTTAAGTACCTTGGAATAATTATAGATTCTACGTTTACATTTAAAAACCACATAAACCACCTATGCAATAGAGTTCGTAAACTAATGTTTGTTTTTAAAAAAATTCGTTCTTTTGCTGATAATAAGGTAGTAAAACAAGTATATTACGCATTATGTCAGTCAATACTCACCTATTGTATAACCTCTTGGGGTGGAGCAGCTAAAACTACACTACTACCACTGGAACGCGCTCAAAGAGCTGTATTAAAAGTTGCAACATTCCGCCCTATTCTATTTCCATCCCATCTCTTATACAAATCCTATAATGTCCTCTCAGTGCGCCAGTTATTTGTTATGAGCATGTTACTAAAACAGCACTTAAGATTGCCTTATAGAAGAGAGGTCACTGATAAAAGGCGCAAAGATAAAGTAATTGAAACTAACATTAGAATAAGGCATTATTTCATGCATAGATTTTTTACATTTCTCGGCCCTTTTTTGTATAATCAAGTCAATGCAATTTTGTATATATATCCATTAAAAATGGCAGACTGTAAAAAGGTAATTCGAACATGGTTACAAAATTTGTCATACGATGATACGGAGAAGTTGTTGATTGTTTTAAGTTAATTAATATTATAAGTAAATTAATGATAATGTATTTTACCCAAATAACCCTTATTAGTTAGTACATTTTATATAAGAAACAGAAAATATTTGTTAATGTATCTTTTAGCATATACACCTGAGATACAGGTTTATCCTAGTTCAGGTACCTGTTATTGTAGACTATTTTTAAGTTAAAACTTATTGGAATAATTTGTACATTTTATCAAAATAAAATAAATTATTATCAAAAATAAAATAAATTATTATTATTATTCTGCGGCTGTAACGCGCCAGGTACCAGATAAATATATATTAAAAAAATTACTATGCAGGGGCTGCTGACAGAACTCGAGACAGCGAAGAATATGTTAAAGTCTACGCTTCAATGCAAGAGCTGCGGGAAACGGCTGGTGATAGGCAAAAAGCAGGCCACCGTGCAGTACTGTGAGTACGTATCTTCTTCTTTTTCACCAGCCCATAGGTATCCACTGCTGGACATGCACCTGTCCCGCAAATTTGCACGGGATAAATATCAACGGTAATTATCACGACAATGAAGGTTAGAGAACAGGAGAACGATATATATCCATAGAAAATAGAAAATAATGTCCTAGAAATAGGGACTCCATAAGTGAGGCGCTGCGATTGCAAAGTTCGGTCAATAAAAGTCATTTTCGGTCTATTTTTCCGATCAGATGCTAAACCACTTGCACATCCACGCACAATAAAATATTTCTCCATTTTTTATTGTTTCTTTTTGTCAAAAATTACAAAATTACGGAGCATGAAAATTTTCTCACCAATGCCGCGGAGAAAATTTGTACATTATTCAACTAAGTTCATCTACTTGTACTCATAAACAGCTAACTTCGCAGTCACTACTCACCGACGTCAGCGCCGCTATACATTCTACAATTTTCAAGGACAGGCGGGCTATGCTTTAGTACGCAGTGATCCTTCTCCTGTTCTCTAACCTTCATGATCACGACAATGAGGGCTAACAATCTTCCGTTCACCAGATGTCGCTAGTAGACGCTGAGGTGAAGTTCTTTGTACACATTGTCATTTAATTGAGAAGTTAGTTTTAAATAAAAGTTTATCAGTCTAGAGTATTATATTAATACACAAAAGTATGTCTCAGTGGTTTGCACTTGAATTTTTTGCAAAATTTAAATTCTTTTTTAAATTTTTTTACCTTTAGGAATATTTGTGGTGTTGTTTTTTATTTTTAATCTAATTAATATAAAATATACTTAATAGTACAGAAAAACTATTAACCTTAACATTTTTCAAACAAATTAACTTCGTCGCTATGTCTATGCGTGGTAAAACCACGCTGCCATGGGTCGGCCCGACCGGGGAAGGACCGCGCTCTCACAGAATACCAGCGTAAAATAGTAGCTTAATGCTGCTGTGTTCCGTATGGTAAGTGTGGAGAACCGAAGACCCTTTTTACTGGAAACGAGGCATTCCATCTCAGTTCTCAGGGGTGACAACGCATCTGCATTTTGATTCGTAATCGAGGATAGATCTAGATCTATGTGGGCCACAGAAACCACTTACCATCAGGTAGACTGTGTGCTCGTTTGTCACCCTATTCCATAAAAAAGTGAAATATTACACCTCATTTTTAAGTAGCGCCGCCCTGGTTGCAGAAAAAGCCGTGAATCAATCCTTATGTGCTGATAATTATCTATGACAATAACATTCAGTCCTGTGTGTGATATTGTAAGTAAAGTCTATAGCGTGTATCCGAACGAGGGTAATATTATGCGTCAATTTTTTGACAATATGACAAATAATGTTGATTTGTTAAAATTTTGTTATTGTTTATTGTATCAAAGAAAGAACATAGTCAAGTAAGGGTAGGCGTTGAATGAATGAACAGTTTTTTTCGACAGTTTATTTGCCGTCGAGTGTTAGACCGGTTTATAGTCTACTGATAAACTCGTTTACCCGTGAACGACATATTGCATCGCGCACATACACCGTTGAGTGTTTGCCGAAAGCCGAAACTGTTTCGCTGGCCACTCCTCGATCAAGCATTCCATTCTCTTCACACCTGCTTGTTTCGACGATTATCTCTCTTTTTCCACATCCTCGACTCTCGAAATATTGCGTGGGAGCTGTTTTGTAAAAATAAGCTCTATATCAATTGAAATATATATGAAATATGCATGTCAATATAAGGCGTAGGCAGGTTTTTGAATTTCGTTTACGTTAGTTTTTGGTCTCCAATTCTCCATTTAAATACGCTTTGCGTTGGTCTAGGTTAAAAGTATTTAGTACATTTATAATTGAAGAGATTAACTAAAGTGTAAATAATTATTCAAAGTAGGTTTAATTTCTAGTGTCAATAATAACAGTGTGAACAGTAATAGTTTTGTGTTAAGTATTTAAGTGTAAAAACAGTAGTGTTATACGGGACCATTTTGACAAAGATAATAAAACTTTTAAAGCAACGTGTAATGAATGAAAAGATGTGTTTAAGTTATAAGTCATCTCCGCCAATTTAAAAAGTCATCTGAGGAGGAAACATCCTTCGTCGTTTACCAATTAGCGAATCAACGTAGAACGACAAGTAGTTTATATTGACGTTAACTAATCATCGATCATGTTTCGTCGACAGCATAAACTAGTCGAAAAAAAAAACTATTTTATAAACTAGTTTATCGTTGACGATAAACAGTCTCGTTTCGTCGACTGTAAATACGTCGACGACCCATTCCTATAGTCAAGATTACAGGAACGTAATATGATTTTTTTAAAACTTTTTAAAATCTGTTTTATTTCTAATTACAAATATAACTATAATTACTTAATTAATACGTCTTGACAGAAGTCGATGTCAAAACGAAGTGGCCGCTCCCATGAGCTCTGCTTGATACCTCATGCAACCAAAAGCGCGTGTCTAATACGTATGTAGCAAACGACTATAAATCAATAGCACGCTACAAACTACAATTTCTAGCGCGCTATTAAATACGCTATGTTATAGCGCGCTATTTATAAGAAAGCGCGTAGGAGACCGGCAAGCGCGTTAAGTTTTGCAGCACGCTATATCTCGTAGCACGTTACATTACATTACATTTCGTAATAAGTCGCATTTTAGTCTAAAATAAAATAAAGTGGTAAAGAAAAACCAATTGGACTTTTTCATACTTTTTAGGCTTACGACTTTCTATAATCCTAAATTATTTTTAAAGCAGTTACTTTTGAAAACGAAATAAAATTAATTATTTTTTATTATAATTGATGTAAACGTTATTTTAACCTTAATATAAATTATAAATCAAATAAAGGTGTATTTAAAATTTTATTGATTGTATTTATAAAAATCAACTACACTATTATATACACTTCTGTATCTATTTTTTTTTATAGAAGAGGGGGCAAACGAGCATGCGGCTCACCTGATGTTAAGTGACTTCCGCCGCCCATGATCAACCGCAACACCAGAGGAATTGCAGGTGCGTTGCCGTCCCTTTGGAAAGGAGTAAGCTCTTTTCTTGAAGGTCCCCAGGTCGTATCGGTCCGGAATAATCGCCGGTGGTAAACTATTCCACAGAGAGGTTGTACGTGGAAGAAAACTCCTTGTGAAACGTACAGTGGTGGACCGCCAAGCATCCAGATGGTGTGGATGGTATCGGGACGTTTGCCGCGTAGTGCGTTCACGAAATTTGGCGGCTGGGATTAATCCGAACAATTCCTCAGAGCACTCAGCTGAGAGCAATTCCTCAGAGCACAGAGCTCCATGGTATATGCGAAAGAAAATGCAAAGAGATGCAACATCTCTTCGCAGCACCAGTGAATCGAGCCGATCGGAAAGCACTCGGTCGTCGACGATTCGAGCCGCTCTGCGCTGGATGCGGTCAAGTGGAAGGAGCTGGTACTGGGGAGCCCCAGCTCAGAGATGGGAACAGTATTCCATGTGCGGCTGAACCTGCGCCTTGTAAAGTTGTAGCCGGTGTGCCGGCATGAAATACTGTCCCGCTCTGCTGAGCACGCCAAGCTTTGTAGAGGCCAATTTGGCCTTCTCTTCCAAGTGACCACGAAACTGCACGTTACGCGATATGTCGACGCCGAGGATTCTGATACTGCCTGAGTCAACAAGGGGAGTGCCTTGAAACTGAGGAGATACGACAAAGGGGTTCTTTTTAGTGGTTAACGCGCAAACTTGTGTCTTCTGGGGGTTAAACTGGACTAGATTTAGTCGCCCCCAATCCGAGACTCTGTTCAGCAAAGACTCGACTTCAGACACAAGTTTGTCCCGGTACTCGAAGACATTTTCCCGAGAAATATTGGCTCAGCCAGTGTAAAGAGCATCACCAGTGCTGTCATCTGCATAGCAATGAATGTTACGGGTTTGCAACATATCATTGATATGCAGAAGAAACAGCGTTGGCGATAGCACGCAGCCTTGTGGAACACCAGCATTAATAGGCTTGCAATCGGAGCTTGCACCGTCTTGATGCTCCGATCTGCAAGAAAGCTGGTGATCCAATCGCACAATTTCTCGGGAAGCCCATGGTAAGGGAGCTTCGAAAGAAGCGCTTTGTGCCAAACCCGATCGAAGGCCTTCGCAATGTCCAAACTAACGGCCATTGCCTCCCCCTTGGACTCTACTGCCTCCGCCCATCTATGAGTTAGGTAGACCAGAAGATCACCAGCTGATCGACCACGGCGAAAGCCGTATTGGCGATCACTAATCAGCTGGCGATCCTCAATTACGTACATATTATGTATATTTTATTTACATTTCAAACATTAGTTAGACTTCTTTTATAGCAGACAACTGTATGCTTCGATCACTTATAAATATACAGTATACACAAACTAAACAACGTCTAACACTAAAGCTGAGAACACATTATCGGACGCGGCTGACGAACGCGGCTGACAGCCGCAGTTTATTGAAATATAGCCAGTACATTTAATACTACACTGTGCAAACTATCGACCTTGCGTCGCTCTTGAGCGTTCGGACGTCCGAACAGAATCTGGTCGGCTGGATGTTTGGTGCGTCCGCGGACAGTGTGAACGGGGCACGGGACGCGTCCGCGGACGTTTCGAGTGTCAAGCGAACCAACTGCGCTCGCGACATTATGTGTAACGAAAAAAAATAATTGAATGTGTTCATGGCCACGAATGCCTATATTTATAAGTACATATTAGTACATTCATAAGTAAATTTTTTAACGTTTATCATCTTTTTGTAAGTCTGGATGCAATGTATGAAATTCATCATACTCGAGTCGTTTTACATTAATATCATGGACCCAAGCACTCCTTTTAAATTTTTATAGGAGGACAACATAAAACAGCTGCCGCTAACTTTATAGATTCATCCTCGCTGTCGCTGCTTGTTATATTTCTCGAATGACAAATCTTTATGGAATGACCGAAGCGAGGCGTCCGAAGACGCCGTCTCGACTACCGTGCACACCGCTAAGCCGCGTCTGTCAGCCGCGGCTGACGGACGCGTCCGATAATTTGTTCTCAGCTTAAATTAGGTCGCGCGCGATGAATAGCGTGCTACTAGATCAAATTTGCGTCACACGTCCTCTCCCAACAGCGCTGCTGCTAGAACTAGTTGTGCCGCTAAATATTAATACTTAACTGCGCCAAAGCGCCATAGCGCCATAGCGCAATAGCGCCATGGTGACTACGTACATAACACGCTCTATGTGTTACGGAGAGATAGCGCGCTATAATATGGCGCTATGCGCTAGGTACAAACCGTAACAACCCTACGATCTTGTGGTTGCATTACTACATACTTTTTGTTTCGAAATAAAATAATTATACCTATTAAATACTTTTATTACACATTATATTGTTAGATAAATATCGGATAATCATTAATGAACTTTATTGTCTTGATAATTTACAACCCTGCTGTTCCATTGTAGAAAGAATTAGTCATAATCGTTACGCTTGGTAAGCGTATTGACGATTAGCAGTACCAGGTTTGAGTACATAAGATGCAGCTGTACGCGTTCGATCAGGGTATTTCACTTCTGGTGTAAACTGGATAGTTATACCGCTGTCAATCGGATATCTCAAAATTTTTCTTGTATGTATGTATAATAGAGCTGTGATTAGAGTATGCACCCGAGAATTCCTGGGTCTGAAATTTCCGTATTATGCCGGTTTTATTATCTGAACAGAACCAGTCACATATCCCATAACAAACTTGATGTAGTTTTAATGTCTTATTATATAATTGGCACATGTACATAAGTTTTTCATACTAATTATTTATTTAACATTACCGACACAATTTCGCCTTGTAAACATGCATGCAATAATTGAATAAAACTATATTTACGGATTTTATCGCGATTGATTATATATATATATATATATATATATATATATATATATATATATATATATATATTTATAGATATATATAGATTTTGAACAGTAACCAACAGTCCGACCGGTTCAGAGTTACCGAGTAGTGGCGGTGCAAGAATATCTAGTACCCCATATCATTACCGGTACACGGTAAAGTTTCTATAAACTTATGATTGTACCGTAACGTAATGTGTAATTAATGAATGTAATAATATATTAAATAAATAAATAAAATAATAAATAAATCCCTTGGGTCTCGTAAGAGGCGACAGAGGGATTCAAATCAGGAGATGGGTAGCAGTGTCTTCTTAATGACGACTATAAATAAAAAATGCGGTTGCCAACCTGCTTGCCAAGCGTGGCAACTATGGCAAATATACCCCCCTATGTGGCAATCTATGGAGGAGGCCTATGTTCAGCAGTGGACTTGAATGGGCTACAACGGTGACGGTATCCATCAGTCAGAATGTGGGTCTTATTAACATTTTGGTGCTGCAACAGCTGCAAGGATGGTCACCCCGCAGAGGAGTCAATAGACGGCTGGGTGCCGTTCATGGAGGCGGAAGACGTTATAATTTGGCGTAAAGAATACAAGACCGGTCAAGGCCTCTATGCATACAAAGGTAGGTTTTAATAAAACGCTTTTATTAGCTTCGCGTGTGTAGACAAAGAATCCTATAGCTTAGCTAGCGTGCTTAGCGTGGCCTCGAGTGAGAAAAGACGATAACGTAGTTTTAGGTTATACAATAATCTTTATGACTTTTAAACATATTTAGATAAAACTTTTAGTTGTTCTAAGAACTGAACTGAACAAGATTCACCAATTTTAAGCTCACAAAACACTTTTTACTCACTTAAACCAACTTGTAAACTCCTTAGATCGCTACGAACTGTCAAAGTTGTTTAGCAAAGTGTACTTTGCTAAACAAAAAAACCGGCACGGAGAAAGGGACAAACAATCACACCGCTCTGTCTCATTTCTATGCAAGACGTATGCATAAATCTATCTTTTTCGTGTGCGAATGCGAAAGAGGGCGTCAATTTGTCTATAGGTTTCTCTGTCTACGTTCGCATGTACCTATCTATCTATGTAACGGAACCTTTTAATGTAATTTTCACCAACTTGTACACAGCTGATTGACTTGAAAATTTGCACTCGTATCAAGGACCATTGATATTCCTGATCAGGATCACCAGGATAAAATAAAATAATTAGAAGCCTTATTTATTCGTATTTTCGAAAACTGCAATAACGGTTCAACATTATTTAGATATTTGAACTTAAGTTTAAAATTTGGCTACCCATTGAAAAATGACCCTGTATAATTTAATTCAAGATTACATTACAGAAGACTTATTCCCTGGGAAGCTGTTTATACTCTACGTAATGTGGATGAAATGGTTCAAACTTACAACATATATTATTATAAATTCATTTGACATAGATGCGCCATTTCGTAATTTAGTTCTCAAAGATAAGTCTAAACCATGGATTACAAAAATGGTTAAATTTATAATGAAACTTCGCGATTAAACTCTGACAAAAGGGTAGAAAGACAATAAATACAGCTCGAAGAATTTTTATCGCAGTAAAAGAACTTTTTTACTGCAGCTATTGAAGGAGCACGAAAAGCCTAGTATAATAATTTCATAAATAACAATATAAAAGGGCGGCTTTACTTTTGAGAAACATCAAAAAAACTACCCAATTTAATAACACGCACAAAATCATAATTCCTGAACATCTTAATGACCCCAATAAAATCAACGAACACTTTTTGAATTTATACCAGTCGGTAACGAAATAGTTGTTGCAAAAAACTTCACCAGTCTAATTGCAACACTGGAACCTGACATGCTGGTCCAGAAATTGTACTTCTACATGTCACAGACGCCCTGACAGAAGCTTCGGATACGTGGATGAGTATTATAATGGTATTACTTGATTATTCTCGAGCATTCGACTGTTTGCAACCTGAATTACTTTTAGATAAGCTAAGCTGGTATCGAATTGCCCAATTCGATCAATTTAGACATGGCGAGTGCGGAGGTGGGAGCCGGTGCATTGTCGTGGTGGAAAAGCACTTATTTCCTCGCCAAATGGGTCCGTTTTTTTAAGTCGGCGTCTAATTGGCCCAATAATTCGACATGGCATTACCCTGTGACCGTTTTGCCCTTCTCCAGGTAGTCAATGTATATTACGCATTGCGAATCCCAGAAAACGGTGGCCACCATCTTTCCTGTCGATGGGACAGTCTTCGCCTTCTTCGGAGCAGATTCACCCGGGTATATTCCACTGTTTCGACTGTTCCTTGGTCCCTGGTGTGTACCATTGGATCCATGTTTCGGCGACGGTCACGTAACGACGCCAGAACTTCTTCAGATCGAGCTTAAACAGCCCCAAACATTGCTCTGAAGTGGTCACACAGTTGCACTTGTTTTTCTGAGTGAGCAAACGCGGATTCCTCTTGCCGACAGCTTTATCATACCCAAAATTTCGTGTAGGATATGCGCCACGCAGTCTTTTGAGATGCCTACTACATATCTTAGCTATTTTGCGCATCTTCAATCGACGGTCTGCCAAAACGAGATCGTGGATTTTCATCACGTTATCCTCCGTTGTTGCTGTTTTCGGGGCACCTGGGCGTGGCTCATCAAAAACCTACGTGCGACCACGTTGAAATTCGTTGAACCAATTTTTGACGGTCGCCATCGAAGGAGAAGCGTCCCCATACACTGCGTTCTAGCCCTCTTTAATTTCACTGCGCCATTTCTTTCCTTCCAAAAACAAGAATCGTATCACCGACCGATATAGCTCTTTTTCCATTTTTTTGAAATCAACGGACACGCTTGCTTTCACACGCTCTCAAAACAGACCTACAAGTCCGATCCGGCTGAAATTTCGTCAGTAGCCGTCCACAGGAAAGTACTACACTGTAGTGTATTTCTCTTGCAATAGTGGCGCCCTCGGGCAGTGAGGCTTAGTACTTGTCTGACCGCTCTCGTATAGCTGTAGCGTTTTCCCAACAAAGACAAACCATACTTTATTATTATTACATTAGCTAATCTGATTTTGTTAGGTTTACTCTTGTGACTCCTTACTCCTTAGTATGGGATTCGAACCCAGGACCACATGAACAGCAGTCGCGTTATCGACCACTAGATCGATGAGGCAGTCAAACTTTAAGATACCCCGGGCTCAATCTGAGTAAATCGGACCCAAAAAATGATTGCAAAATGACTATTGTATTCAGATGTTATCGCCATGATTGTCAAAATCGACTAAAAGCGTGTTATAGGGAATGGTTGTTTGATTAATTGCTATCGGAATAAACTGCTTCAATTTAGCGACTTTGAAGGCGCTTAAAACCGTATCGTAATATATCTACTCCACATGAACAAAATTTTCCACCGAATTTTTGACATTGTTTCATTAACATTCTTATCATAATCATTGATATCACTTTAAGGGTTGTCAACTATTGTTTTGTTTGAGAATATTTATTACTTACAATTTTTTATAGAAGTAAAATTGACAAACGAGACAAAGGTCCATCTTATATACATCCATCATCTTTGTGACCTATGTAGTCACTTGCATCTATCTTCGATTAAAAATCAAAATTCATGTGCGTTGTAAAAGGAGTAAAATGGAATTCCGCATTAATAACTTGAATTAGTATTTAAAAAAACCTCGAAACAAAAAGAGCTGATGATCTTCAAACGGCTAAACAAATTTTCTTGAAACATAGCTAAGAACACTCTAAGATCAAGTCACCTTTCAAACCTTTTTCATCCATTTGGGGGCTACGTTGCCACAGATACATATACATAGATACACAGGTAAACAGATATATAGACATTAAACACATTAAGCATATAACACCCTTCTTTTTCGTCGGGGGTTAAAAGCAGTCTTCTATACACGCCATGTGTAGGAGCCGTGGTAGCTCAGATGGTTAACACTCGCTGTAAATATATAACAGAACACGAGTAACTCGGGTTCGATCCTCGCTGGCACCAATAAATTGTTAATTGCAATTTTAAGTGCTGATTTACCACGCTCGGCGGTAAAGGAAAACATCGTGAGGAAACCTGCATGTCTGAGGAATAAGAAAAAAATATATTTCGAAGACATGTGAAGTTCGCCAACACGCATTGGGGCCGCGCGGCGGATACTTTCTAGCCCTAAAACCCTCTCAGAAATGAGGGGAGGCCTGTGCCCAGCAGTGGGACGTATATATACTGTAACTTTACTTTACTTTTATACACGCCATGTGAAACAGCATTATCAAAGTCCACGGTTGATCATTAGCCTCACTCTATAAATTGCCTCAGATTTGTCGTTGTTGCCTCATTTGGGTTTTTTTAATAATGTGCGAGCAGCTATGCGGGTCTAGGGAAAGAGACCAGTATCACTGCGTCCTATAAGATCTATTGTGATCGCTGCTATGGCTATAGTTCACGGCTAAGCCCTATGTCTTCAATGAATAGAAGGAGTTGCTTAGCCGTGAGTAATTTCACTTCTTCTGGGCGGAGAACATAGTTTCTCAGATGAGTGTTACGTTTGCGCATTAAGGGTCCGCAATCAGTTAGGATGTGTAAAGGCGTTTCTTCCGTTATGGAACAGAACCGACACACCCTTTGGCAAGCGGGTTGGTAACAACAGCTTTTTTTAAATTGTAATCGTTATCATGAAGATGCTGCTGCCTATCTAGGTTTGCCGGATCGGAAGACCAAAATATCTGGACAAATTTTGAAAAAGTCGTGATTTTGGGGTTGTCGTCGGGAGAAATAAATATTAAAAATAAAAAGTTTATTTTTTTAATTAAGATACTACAAAAAGTACTTTAAATAAGACTAATTTAAGTACACTTAATTTTTAGGTTGCCACATGTATTTGGCCTTTAATAGTATTCGTAAAATATTTAAGTTTAACAAAATTCAAACAGTTTACTTCAAAGTTCAGTCTAATTACTAACTTAGCTTTTATTAAATCAAAGACCACACGTTAAATTTCATAAACATCCACGTAAACATCCACACCATCTGGATGCTTGGCAGTCCACCACTGTACGTTTCACTAGGAGTTTTCTTCCGCATACGACCTCTCTGTGGAATACTTTACCACCGGTGGTTTTTCCGGACCGATACGACTTAGGGACCTTGAAGAAAAGAACTTGCTTTTTGATCTACGTAAGAGAGACCACATTCACAATCTAACTTGCGCACTCCTGCATCTTGTAGAGGAATATGTCTAGTGGTCTCTCTTACAAAAGTCAAACAAAAAGATCCATAAAAACGCGCGTGAAAGCTTACTCCTTTCTAAAGGGCCGGCAACGCACCTGCAATTCCCCTGGTGTTGCGGTTGATCATGGGCGGCGGTAATCACTTAACTTCAGGTGAGCCGCATGCTCGTTTGCCCCCACTCCTATAAAATAAAAAATAAAAAAATTACTGTCCGTTAGTCTCGCTGAAACTCAATGACGGTTTGAATCCCCTGGATGGTTTAAATTTACAATTAAACCCGGTAGCTGGCGCTATTGTCGAGATCGAGAAATCATCCTTGAGAAGCCGTGGCAGGTCGCTAGTATACAATATATAAGTACGAATATCAGACATTATTTAAAAAACTACATTTTGTGTCTCTATTTGATCCCATATAAAAAGTATATCAGATAGAAATACAACAATAATAAACACTGATTGGCAACCCTAATCACCTTGTAGGCGATTAGAACAAACAATGTTATGTAAGCTTGATGTAAGGTTATCCTACTTTAGAACGTTACGTAAATTTAGCGGCTTGTTGTAGCGATCACAGATAAACAATGCATTGAAGTACAAACTATATTTACATTTAATATTAAAGAATGTATGAAAAGGTTAATATTAAATGTTAAACGAACGTACCTTTTGTGAAGTTTTTTTTATAGGATAAGGGTGACAAACGAGCACACAGTTCACATGTTGGTAAGTGGATGCTGTGGCCCATAGACATATACATTTGTCCTCGATTGAGAATCAAAATGTAAATGCGTTGTCACTTCTGAGCACTAAGATGGAATGCCTCGTTTCCAGTAAAAAAGGTCTCCGGATCTCTACACTCACCATACGAAACACAGCAGCATTAAGATACTATTTTAAGCTGGTATTCTGTGAGAGCGTGGTCCTTCCTCGGTCGAGCAGACCCATTCGTGCTACACATTACGTACATTACGTGCTGCAGCGTGGGTCTGCCACGTATGAGAATCGTTTGATCGTTTCGGTTTGCCATCCGATTCCGACTATGAGAATAAGGGATTAGAGAGTGCACTTGTGCTTGCGCATATACTCAATTACTATAATCCTGACCTGCACTGATGGTTAGTGGTTGATACTGGCCATACGTGACCGAATTACGGTTTGGAGGACATTATTACTATTACTATGACTATTAATACTTAGATCTATTACTGGCTCCATAGAATACTATAATACACAATAGAATGGCTGTCACCTTAATTTTATACGAGAATTGGCGTCGCCAAACCCGATTCGCTGTGTTGACATACTGAGTAAATTTACACATTTTAGACTTTTGATTAATGTTCAAGATCATCATTAAATTTTAATACATATTTATTTGTGAATAGGGTGCAATTTGGCATTTTCTAAATAATTTTCATGCGAAATTTGGAAACGATTGTAACGTCAAAACACACCTCGTGTTGACATTTATACGTGAGAATTGACGTGTTAGTGACATTTTAGTGGCTACGCGGGCTCCGCCCACTCCCCCGTTCTATTATGTATGTATTATAGTATTATATGACTGGTTCAATGTTTATGTGTCTTCGTTCCAGTTTACGGTCGGTACCCGGAAGTGAACGCGCGCGATTTTGCCGCAGTACAACTGGACGGTGCGTACCGTCGGGCGTGGGACGCTGCAGTCGCCGCACTAGCCGTGGTCCAGCGTTCCGCGAAGGGAGTGCAAGGACAGACCATTCTGCATTGGGAGGTCTTGTGGCCGGTAAGTAGTTTATATGCATCATACGTGGTAGAGCCACGCTGCAGCTATATTATGGTTGTAGCACGAATGGGTCGGCTCGATCGGGGAAGGACCACGCTTTTACAGAATACCAGCGTGAGATAGTAGCTTAATGCTGCTGTGTTTCGTATGGTAAGTGAAGAGATTCGGACACCTTATTTTTACTGGAAACGAGGCATTTCATCTTAGTCCTCAGGGGTGACAACGCTTCGGTGTTTTGATTCTTAATCGAAGATAAATGTAGATATCTCTGGGCCACAGCATCCACTTACCATTAGGTGGACTATGTGCTCGTTTGTCACCCTTATTCTATAAAAATGTTGATTTTTGAAGTGAAAAGTTCTTTATAATCGTTGTGATTTGAAATTTGTTGAAACGAAAAAGAGAGAGCGACAGAATGAGATAGAATACACTATACAGTGTTTCCATTTTTGTCGGTTTCCTTTTTAGCCGGTGCTTCAAAGATGGTTAATATAAGTTTTAGTGTTAAAAAAAACAGGACCTATATTATTTATTCTTTTTCTAAATGATTTGCATCAATTTGTCAGTAATTCAATTAAGGAGCCAAAGGCAGATTTTTCACGCTTTATAGGTGCGCATAAAATCAATAATTGTTTGTCATTATAAACTACGAATTCAGTTTTTTTCAAATTCATTATAAAAGTAGAAGATTTTTCTTAGTGAATTATGGTGGCCAAACACGCTTGGATAGATTTTGGGTCGCTAGAAAAAGATCGCAAAATTTCCTCAAAATCTACGATTTTAAATACGTCCACGAAGTGAAAAAGCAGTTTCATTCGAATGTAATGAATCAATAAATTCAGGCTATGTGTTCACCGGTAAATACGTGAGCAAATTATGGGTTTATTTTTCAATAAAAGAATATATATAATTTTAAAAAGAAATATCAAATAAATTTTGAGCGATTAAATAGCGCGCGGGCCGACCAAACAGTCCCGCTAGTTGTCCGTAGCGCGTCGTAAGAGCACCTGTGTACAACTTTATCAACGCTTTTATATAGGACCTTTTCCATTGAAACATCCCGAATGTTCGAGCACAAATTGGTCCCAACCGACTAAGTTTAGAAAGTTCTCTTCTAGTTTTGCCACTCGATAATAGATGGCGCTGGAGGTGGGGGGGTTCTAGCGTGGTTTTTAAAGCTCGTTTTGCCTGCTCTCGATAATAGATGGCGCTGGAGGTATTTACCGGCGTCAACTATGGCGCGCAACACTGCCCACTCCTAAAACATGCTCGTCCCGAGAATTATCGGCCCCATAATAACGCGCCAGTCGATTTTACTTAAGAACGACACGGAGGGTGTCCGTACCCGAAGTGAACGCCAGCAGGAGACGGACCAGAGACAATTTGGTGGTGCAACGCCGCAGACGTCGGAGGGCTAGCCGCCAGCAGCTCCTACGTCTGTAGCACCTGACTTAGGCGCTGCGGATGTAGGAGCAGATCCGTCTCTGTGGGGCTTGTGGTCACCAACCCTTGGTTGGTGATCACATCTCAACGTAGAGCCGATGTCCTACCGACAAGTATGCGTTCTCCTGAACAGCAGCACGCCGGGCCTCAGGAGCTCGCTTCCCAGTATGTGGGTTAAATGACATGAGTTATTTGGGAGGAATCAGCGCTGGTAGGAGGGGGGCACCTGATGGTAAGTGGTTGCTGTGGCCCGTAGACATCTATATCTATCCTTGATTACGAATCAAAATGCAGATGCGTTGTCATTCTTGAGGACTTGTGGGATGCCTTGTTTCCAGTAATAAGGGTCTCCGGTTCTCTACACCCACCATACGAAACTGGTATTCAGTGAGAGCGTGGTCGTACCCCGGTTGAGCCGACCCATTCGTGCTGCAACCCCAATATAGCTGCAGCATGGCTCTACCACGTAAATATACAACGCATCAATACGCCTTCTTTGTTAGAAGTTGGCTGCAGGTGATTTCTTATGTTTTCACGAACATTACACATTAAATAAAACAAGATTTTACGGATTCGTGTTTACTTTTAATTTTTTTTATTTCCGCCGTTTCGGGCACTTTACAGCACCCGGTTTTTTATACAGTAAGGGTGACAAACGAGCACACAGTCCACCAGATGGTAAGTGACTACTGTGGCCCATAGTCATCTACATTTATCCTCAGCTAAAAAATAAAATGCAAATGCGTTGTCACCCCTCTGAGTACTGAAATGGAATGCCTCGTATTCAGTAATAAGGGTCTCCAGTTCTGTGCGCTTACCAAACAAAACACTGCAGTATTAAGCTGCTATTTTACGCTGGTATTCCGTGAGGGCGTAGTCCTTCCCCAGTCGAGTCCACCTATTCGTGCTACAACTATAATATACGAGCAGCGTAGCTCTACCACGTATAATTGGGAGTTTAAGTTTGTTTTTCACTTAAGTTTCATAAAAAAGAGCTACCACGGTTCTTGCAACGGCGTTCGTAGCTAAACAAGTTTTAGGTTCTCTTGATGGTACTGCTAGTTCGTCGTATATAATCGGAAATAAAGTCAATAATACTTTTAATTCTCTTTTCCAGAGACTCTTCGCGAACAGAGACTACGTATACATCAGACGGCACAAGGAGTTTGATGTCCACAACGAACCCCTCACACGAACCGACAAAACCAATGTCGATTCCAATGTATGTACGTTAAACCCCAACGAAACACCAAGCGTGCACGCGAAAGCGAAACGGAAAGCTATGGAGAACTATGAGAAAGAAAGAGAGGACAGTAGGACGGAGTTCGTCGACAATAAAGTGTATATAATAGTGTCGAGGTCTTGCGAACATCCAGACGTTCCGGAGACGAAGCACGCTATACGAGTGGTGGAGTATTGGAGTCATATGGTGGTGAAGACCCTCGAGGGAGCTGATAAGGTAGGTGGCTTATTCGTTAATTGATGCCAACAGTGCTATTGTGTAACTCTTTTGGGAATCGTGATCGGCTTCGTTTTGACGTTTGATTGTTGTCTAATTGTATCAGTATCGATTATGAAACAATGCTTTATTATGCTACCACGTTTTTGGCTGACTGCAAAAAAGAATTTCTCAATTGAACTGTATGTTTTTTTTGTTTGTATGTATGCCAGGCCATATTTTCTTCATCATCATCATGATTACAGCCTTTCATAAGTCCACTGCTGAACCTAGACCTGCCCCAAGGAATGCCATAAAGCACGGTTCCGAGCCACCTGCATCCATCGACTTCCTGCATATCTTACCAGGTCGTCACTCCGTCTAGTGGAGGATCGACCTACCGGTATGAGCCTGCCACTCGATAACTTTTTTCCCCATCAGTTGTTGCTTCTTCGAGCTATATGTCCAGCTCATTGCCACTTCAGCTTACTAATCCGTTGGGCTATGTCGGTCATTTTGGTTCTACTGCGGATATCCTCATTTCTAAGTTTATCACGTAGAGAAACTTCGGGCTAGCTCTTTCCATAGCTCGCTGACCGGCCTTGAGCGTCCTCATGCGGTCAGCAGAGAAGGACCATTCCTTCAATAATATTAAGTATTTTCTCGAATTTCCTTTTATTAAATAGTGCTAATATTAATACTTCAGGGTTGGTGGAAGATTAGGTGATAAAGTTTTTAGTGTAACTTTTAGACCATATTCTAGTCGTTACCTTAAACTTGTGTACGTTCTGTAAGTTCCATTCAAAAGATTCAAAAAAATTAAGCGATAGATTTTAGTTTTATCAAACTAAATAGATTAAAATAATTTACACATAATAGCAGTAGTCAGGTTTTCATTCTATTATACACTTTATAGTCCGTGTGGTAGTGCTTTAGTTGAGTGAGTCATTTTATACCAGCTGAAAATCATAACAATAATAGTTTTGCTCTAAAACACATAACAGCTCCGAACGTCAGCTGCTCCGATAGCGGTGGACCTAATTTAGACAACATGAAAAGTCATTGGAAAAAAATCTGCTCCGATGATTTTTATAATGAGTAAATATGTATTAATATTCTTGTTTCAATATCATTTTAAAAAGAAGTCAGTTGTATTGAAGAAAGTGGGGGGAGGGGGGGTTAGTCACGTGCATGAACTCCATTGAAAATTTGACAAACAAATTTATTTTATACCATATGAGATTTATACATCTAAATATTATCTTAGCACCAGCATCTGAAGTTATTATGTGGAAATTATTCTGTTGTTTTTTGAAGTCTAATTTTTTTAAATAGAATAATAGTGACAAAAGAGCACACAGTTTCCAAATGGTAAGTGTATGCTATGACCCATAGACACCTATATCTATCATCGATTAAGATATTAAGAATCAAAATGAAGATGCATTATCAATCCTGACGACTACGATAAAACGCCTCGTTTTCATAAAAAATGTATCCGGTTCTCTAAATTGACCGTACAAAATACAGTAGTATTAGCTACTGTTTTACGCTGGTATTCATTTAATCACTTTTTATAAGAATTTTAATTTAAGGGGCTATAGTAACTCAGCTCAAATTCTGATTTCGCCCCCACTTCCCCGCGCGTCGTATGATATGTACCGACATGTTTGTAATGTCTAATACTAAGTAGATAGGTCGTGGTAAATGCGTAGGTATATGGATGTGGAAGAGGCGAGAGAGGTATGTCAGGATCATGCTAAATGGAAGTCTGTAGTCTCTGCCTACCCCTCTGGGTGACAGGCGTGAGTGTTTATGTTTATGTATGTTTTATGTAGATAGGTCGTTAGATACTTATTTCATTAGGTTTATCATATTTGTGCTTGTTTCTTTACGCCGACCCAGTTGCTTCTTATTTTTATTACCGTTATTTCCCGTTTTAATTTTACGTCGTCCTGTTGCGTAATGTGTATTCTAATTGTAAGCGACACAGTTTTCCCGCTCAAAAGCCGAAGCTAGACTGATCGGGCAGCAGGAAACAAGCTTCAAGATGCCGATAGTTTAGGTAATTTCTTTTTACAGTGAAAATAATGGTAATTTAAAAAAAATAAAAAACATAAGCCCTGCTTTATAGTAAGTTCAGTTATTATGCAAAGTTTCATGATCTAATTTAAAATATTTTATGAATACCAGCGGTTTATTGTTCAGTTTAGAGGTAATTTTGGATTTTTTTTCTATCGAGAAAATTTTACAATATTTTCGGCGTAACGGAGGATCTTGCTAAGCCATTTGAGGTAGTATTTTTTCTATTTCCTCTTAAACGTTTAATTTTATTATCTTGCGTTTATATCTGTTTGGTTGTTTGTTACAAAGTTTTAAGTCTATTCTAAACTAACATTCATCGGGAAATTCAGAAACCAAAGAACTTGAAACTTTAACTTAAATTCGTTATCTTGTATGTCTGTTTATTTGTTTGTTTGTTCGGTATAAGATAGCTCACAACTGCAATCGACTCTAAATTAAGTTCCCGGTGAGCTGAAGAGACTTAAATTCCTCTTCTTTTAAATTATGGCTTCTCTAAAGATTTAAAATTTTAAAATTAGTTCAGATCAAGAAGCGCGGTAAAAAATTGTCGCCGTTTGAATAATAATTATTCTTCATTAATGCCTGCCTCGTAGATCAAGTGGTTGTAGTAGTGGTGCGGCTGATCATGTAGTCCCGGGTTCGAATCCCGGGTCGGCCAAAAAGATATCAGTTATTGAGTTTTTTCATTAAAAAATTCTTAGTAGCTGCACGGAGTCAGGAAGTTGGCGGTGTCTCACCTCCGTGCCTCGGAAAGCACGTAAAGCCGTTGGTCCTGCGTCTGATTTCTCTCCGGTCGTGTCGGTTTACCGTCCCATCGGATTATGAGAGTGAGGGAATATAGAGTGCACCTGTGCTTGAACATACACTTGGGCACTATAATCCTGTCCTGCGCTGATAGCTAGTCTCCGTAAATGAGACTGGCCGCCGTGACCAAAATTCGGTCTGGAGGATATTATTATTATAATATATTTTAAATAATACGTAATAAGTTATTAGTTAGCTTATTAATTAATTTAATAGTTTGCTCTCACTATGCGTACATGCTTGTAGTGGCGGTGTAAGAATATCCACTCGTCAGTTCTTAGGGTGTAGGCGTTACATGTTGCCAGGTTGAGTCGCCTTACGTGAACCCCACCGGAGATGTTAGCATCCCCTGTCCTGTTGTTACCATGGTCGCCACCGTAAGTAGGAATATAATAGGCGGGGTCGCTGTGGACTAGGGGTCGTATCTTTGTCAATCTCACCATAATTGCTATGCTTGTCGAAAGGGTTAGCAACCGCAGTTTTTTTTTTGTTTTTGAAGTGAAAACTTCTTTAGCGGCGTTGTACACTTTTTTTGTAATGGGTAAAGTTAGTAAAGTAAAGTTACAGCCTATATACGTCCCACTGCTGGGCACAGGCCTACCCTCATTTCTGAGGGGGTTTTAGGGCAAGGAAGTGTCCGCCGCGTTGCCCCAATGCGTGTTGGCGAACTTCACATGTCTTCGAAATATTTTTTTCTTATTCCTCAGACATGCAGGTTTCTCACGATGTTTTCCTTCATCGCCGAGCACGTGGTAAATCAGCACTTAAAATTGCAATTAACAATTTCATTGGTGCCGGCGGAGCTCGAACCCGGGTTACTCACGTTCTGTTATATTTACAGCGACCGTTAAACATCTGAGCTACCACGGCTCTTACGGCTTTTTTGTAATGGGTAAAAAGTGTTAAACTCGCGTCAGGACACGTGACCCTGACCGAAAATTCATAAGACGGTTGGAAAGTAGACAGCCGGCGCGGCGTAGGAGAGGAAGTATCCCCCTCTCTTTCTACGGCGCGGCGAAAATGTATGCCTGCGCCTGCTGTTTCGTTTAGGCGGCGCAGGGCGCTTGCGCGAATGTTCGTGTGTGATAATTAAAGCAATTCGTGCAAAATTATTCACTAATCATTCCAAAATATCAAAAATGCACAACGTTAATATTCAAGTTTTTGTAACATGATTTTTAGAAATAAAGGATTTTTTTAAATTTTTTTTTAAGTTTTCACTTCTGCCGGCACTCCCGGAGTGCAACCAGTCGTTTTTTTTTCTATTATCAGAAAGATGCTGCTGCTTATTTTCTGGCTCAATTTCCCTCTGACGCCCACCCAACGCAACACCCACGGAGAGATGTGGGGTAGTGGATATTCTTACACCGTCAATCAATCGTCAATCATCGTCAAGTCAATACACAGGATTAAATAGATATAAGTGGAAAATTAATTTTCTTTGCAAGCCGTACTTTTCAAGTGACCGCTAACAGATAGTGGTCATTCGAGGTCTTTGACTTTCCTATTCTTATCTGTATCGTATTGTGAAAGCAGGCTGGGATGGAGTTCGTGCTGACGTATTACGACGAGCCGGCGGTGGGTGGGCTGCCGGGCGGCGTAGCCGCCTGGGCGTCGGGCCGCGCCGCGCCCGCGTACCTCGAGCGCATGCGGGCCGCCGCACAGCGCTACCGACACTGGTCGCAGCAGGTACACACATGCACATACGTACACACACACACACACACACGCGCGCGCACACACACACACACACACACACACACACACACACACACACGCACACGCACACACGCACACGCACGCACACACGCACGCACGTGCACACGCACGCACGCAGTCACATACGTGTCCGCCTGGGCGTCGGGCCGCACCGCGCCTGCGTACCTCGCACGCGTGCGAGCTGCCGCACAGTGCTCCCGACACTACGCGCAACAGGTACACACACGCACGCACGCACACGCGCACGCGCAAGCAATAGTAGCTTAATGCTGCTTTGTTTCGTATGGTGAGTGTAGAGAACTGGCTACCCTTTTTACTGGAAACGAGGCATTCTATCTTAGTCCTTAGGAGTGACAACGCATCTGCATTTTGTTTCGTAATCGAGGATAGATACACTTACCATCGTGTGGAGTGTGGTGTGTTCGTTTGTTCTTTTTCATCTTATAAAATTACGTATATCGATAAAATAGTTGAAGTCATGTGCTTAATTGTCGGTATATTCAATAGTGTAAAAGTTTCTGCGCTGTACAATGGAAGGAATTTAACCAAAAGAAAACGTATTTAGGTTACTTGCCCCACTGTCACACTTGCCTGAGGTGAGCATATGTCTTATCTCGTCTCGTCTTTATGAAGACATCGTCATTTGTCGTAACAACATGTTTTCGTTTTCTTTATTTTGCATATTATCAACATGGTAGAGCCAGCTATATTATGGTTGTAGCACAAATGGGTCGGCTCGATCGTGTAGGACCACGCTCTCACAGTACACGAGCGTAAAATAAAAGTTTAATGCTGTTCTGTTTCGAATGAGTGTCGAAAAACGCAGTTTTGTTTTTGCTGGAAACGAAGCACCTTCCTCAGACGGTGACAACACGTATTTGTTTCGATTTTTAATCGAGGATAAATGGACATGTCTAATCTATACGAGTACGAGTATATCTCGTACATATAAATGTTCCTTTTCCAATAAGTGTATGTCAATTTAGAGTATATATATATATATATATATATATATATATATATATATATATATATATATATATATATATATATAGAAGTCTATGGCACTGATATCTATTGTAATTCAAATCATGTCCACCTTAGCCTGTGACCCAGCAAAGTGACAAGTTCACAGGCGCCTACTAAATTTATTGTTTTATTGCCGTTTGTAAAGTACACACAAAAAGTATATGGTTTGAATTACGATAGATTTTAATTTATTTATTTGTTTAATTCAAAATGGTTGTTTTTATTTTTTGTAAAATACCAGTACCTTAGGCTTGTATTCCGTTCACATGTTACACCCTAAGTTTTTCCAGATAGTAAAAAATGTCATCAAGTATATTGAGACTTGAATATACAGCTTGATTAGTACACTAGCGTGAAAATTTTATGAATTGCGGTCGAATTTTACGGAACAATAATAACAGATATTTCATGACAGGAAATGCCGGATTTCACACCATTAGATCCGGATCTGGTAAATAACCAAAAGGAGAAAACGGTTGAGCAAATCAACGAAGAAGATATGGAGGTGAGGTCTCTTACTAATGAATTCTAATGTTTACGAACACTACACTTAATGAAACAAATCTTACGGATTTTAACGCTTATTTTATATTCTCGAAGTTTTAAATACTTTACAGCGCTCGTAGTCACGGGGGAACTGATGTGTTCAACGTCCCAATATTATATTTAACCACGGTCATCTTAAATTTAAATTTTTTTTTTGGTCTGCGTAGTTCGGACTTAATTTAAACAGAAGTTACCTATGACGCTTCTGCCAGTTTATTGTGTGGGTATTTTATTCCTGGCGTAGGCGGTGTTACGAAAAAAAAAAAACGGTGGTGTAAGAATATCCACATATCATTCCATATCATTCCGTGGGTGTCGTAAGACGCGATAGAGGAAGACAAATCAAGAGATGAGCATCAGGGTCTTCCTAATAACAATCAAAATTTAAAAAAATAGCGGAAACTAAACCCTCATTAAGCGTAGCTACTGTGACAAAGTCTACCACACACAGCCAACCTACCAAACCATCGTAAGTGAATAATGTGGACCATATATATTTACATCTATCCTCTATTAAGAATCCAAATGCAGAGGCGTTTTCACCTCTGAGAATTAAGATGCCTCGTTAACCAGTAAAAAGTACCAGTAAAAGGGTCTCCGGTAAAAAGGGTCTCCGGTAAAAAAGGTCTCCGGTAAAAAGGGTCTCCGGTAAAAAGGGTCTCCGGTAAAAATGGTCTCCGGCAAAAAGGGTCTCCGGTAAAAAGGGTCTCCGGTTCTATAAAATCAAAGAGCATAAAACTAAAAAGCTTCACGCAGATATTCTGTGAGCGGTGGTAACTTAGGGGCTTAGCGCTTGCTGTAAATTTCGCAGTACGAGAACAACCCGGGTTCGATTCCCGCCGGCACCAACGAAATTGTTAGTTACAATTTTAAGTGCCGACGCGTGCTCGGCGGTAAAAGAAATCATTGTGAGGAACTTGCATGTCTGGGGAATAGAAAAAGATATTTCGAAGCGATGTGAAGTTCGCCAACACGCATTGGGGCAGCGCGGTGGACCATCCTTGCCCTAAACCCCTCTCAGAAATGAGATGAGGCCTGTGTTCAGAGTGGCACGTGTGTATGCTGTTATTTTACTTAACTTTTATATGAAACACATCAGCGTTGAGTTGTTACTTTACGCTTGTATTCTATGAGAGCTTGGTCCTATACCGGTCGAGCGGACCCATTCGTGCTTCAACTAAAAGAGCTGCAGAATGGCTTTGCCACGTAGGTATAAGCTTTAGCTTTCCGTTTTAACTTCATTTCTTCTTACCGATTTCTTAATTCTTTCTTCTTTCTTAATTCTTCAATAAACAATGAATTTATCGATGTGATAATAACCCCTGGGGATGAGGTTTGTTTTGTGTAGTTAATTGTGTAATATGTTATATGATTGTAAAATGTTCTTTTAAAAAATGCCCTGCTGGGTTCCTGCTGGTTTTTCCCAGGACTAAAATATTTTTCGAACCAGTGGTAAATTAAACATAAAAATGACTTTAAATTTTTTTATATAGAATGTATGTGTATAATATGTCTTGTATGTATATGTGTATATCTCTAAATGTATATATAGGTATATTTATGAGCAACGAAATATTTCAATTTATAAAAGTAATTATTGAAATGTATTTCATAAAGATATTAATAGTTACTTTGCAACCATCCGCTCAACTTGCGTAGTAATGAAAACGCTAAGATGACCTACCCGCCTACCTGACCTACCTGACCACTAAGACTTAGCGGTCAGCTGCCGGATTAGTTATGAGGGGATTAGTGCAAGAAATTGAAAGAGGGCGGGAGGTGCTCTTCAAACTAGGTAAGACACATCATTGGGTGCGTTTGGCAGAAAAAAGCGCTAGCAAGCGCTTATAAGCGCTAAAATAGTTTTCGGCCAGGACACGATTGCTACTTCAGTAGCGCTGACACAATCCGCCATTTTGCTTATTTAATTTGTTTGTTTTGAAGTAGAGTTTATAAGTTGTTTTGTGCAATATTAGTTTTAAGTAATATAATGACATGAATAAATATATACATGCTATTAAAAACTCATGATTGGTAAGTTTTTAATATGAATACTTTACAAACATATATTTAAATTAGGTTAGATTCCCCGCTTAAAACTAACATCGTGTCCTGAAGGAAAATAGCTACTTACGATTTGACAGCGCTTACCGCTTACGAACGCCATTTTGCTTACAAGCGCTTGCTAGCGCTTTTTTCTGCCAAACGCACCCATTTTATTTAATTGAGCGGATGGTTGCAAAGTAACTATTAATATCGTTATTATAATGGATTTCCGCAAAGTAACACCTGATTATATCGAAGTGTATTTCATAAAACACATCCAGGCGTATCGTGCGTGTATCTGTGGTTATTATGACGGAATCATCAGCGCTATAGGTTACCCTGCAGCATTACGCTGAGTCATAACCTTTTCACTGGCTCGATACGCACCCCATCACTTGGGATTTTAATCTACCATACTTTTAACTGTTTATTTTTTATTTTTGTGATGTGTACAGTTCCGTTGAATAAAGGTTTTTCTTTCTTTCAATAATAATAATTTATAATCTATATTGAATAAAATGCTTCAATTTCTATTTCTTCTCTAAATATCTAAACAGATTTTGATTATTCTTTTCAAGCACAATATGAGAAAGTTTTTGTAGTTGTATATATTGTTTATTTATATTTTATATCATCGTTAAATTTGTTTGCTGGATGACGAATATTTGGGGGTATAACTGGGCAAATGCATTAATTCATTGAATTATATATATATATATATATACATATATATATATATATCTATATATATATATATATATATATATATATATATATATATATATACATACACAATTCAATTCAAATTCAAAGGCGACAACGGTGGTAGATACAGTAGTTAGTGTCTTAATTCAGGGAGATAATTTATAAATATCCTCACAACAAATTTTGTTAAATTTCAGTCTTCTAAAGAAGGCCCTGAGATGGAAAACGCCGAGAGCAAAAGTGATAAAAGTACACAAACAGAAGAAATCAATAAAACAGAAGTAGAAGAGTGCAAGCAGAAAGTGGAAGGAGACGACATCGCAGATGCAGAAGGAAAAAATAATATTAACGAAGCTGAAGCAAAAACTATAGAAGTAAGGAACGAAATAACTAATGACAGAGAGAAAAAAGAGGTAATAGAAGATAAGATAGGAGAAAATACCAGAGAACAGTGTGAGATGGCTAAGGTATTTATTATAAATTTTTAAAATGTACTAAATTTTATTTATAATATTATAGAATATAGTAATAAAAAACCTAAGAATTAGCCTGGTAGTTGATTTGACAGTTGATTAACCAATATTATAAATACAAAGGAGTTACAATAATGTTCTTCTGACCGAATTCAGTCACAGCGACCAGTCTGGATGGAGACTAGAGATCTGCACTGGACAGAATTAGAGTGCTCAAGTGTATGCGCAGACACAAAGCACTCTCTATTACCTCACTCTCATAATCCGATAGGACGGCAATTCGACACGATCGGCGCGAGATCAGACGCAGGACCAATTGCTTTACGTGCTTTCCGTGGCACGGGGAGTGAAAACCACTAACTTCTTAACTCTGGGATGTAGCTGTGACTTTGTGAAACAGAAATACGTGTGGCACTCGGTGACTGCCGCGGTAAAGCTATTGCGTAACATTTTTTATCAACTTACGCAATTATAATTATTTATTCATTTTATTTATGCAGTATTATTTTCTTTGTTCCTTTCTTTGATATTAATTCAAGTTTTTCGTACACTTTTTGAGTGTGGTGACCGATAAGTAATTTTTTTCTTTTATTGAATAAATGAGAAATTAATATTGTTCAAAATATTTTTATTATCTTAGAATACATGTAGGTTATTCAGGAATTTTTATCATTGAAACTATAGGTTTATGGTAACTGAAATAAGAAACATAAGTTTGAGACTTGTTATACTCTAAATATCTGGAAAATACTGCGTCAACCGTGCCGAAGTCTGCCGACTTGAAGCGACGTTAGACGATGCACGGCTTTCAACGCCGCACCGCTGTGCCGGTCGGAGTGGGGGTGGGGGCGGGGTGCTAGGTTTATTTTCGTTACGGAATTTCTTGATTCGGTCGCCGCGATAAAAGCTATGCAATAGCTTAAAACTTCTTATCTCCACTATTAGATTGACAAGTCAGAACAAAAATTTAGTCATAAGATCGCGCAATGGGCGATAAAAATGCACATAAACATGCCACGCAGTTGTACTTCCATTTACGGTATTTGCTGTTTTTAGGCAAATACGAAATTAAATTACATACTTATCACTATGTATAAAAATCAATTGCTATGCGTTAGTCTCGCTAAAACTCGAAAACGATTCGAACAATTTTGATAAGTTTTTTTGTGTGCGTTTGATTGCACTTCTAACACTTATACTCGCTTGCGCTTGTTTCAACAAAACAAAACAGTCGCAAGCTCGCAAGCGCGCCGCAGTAAGTTAAGCACGCGGGACGCTTTGAAATGCTTCCGCAAATAATTCCGTAATAATGTAGTCCGTAATTCAATCGCTGAATGTTTCGTTTACCTAACAGTTATAACTAATTCGCACAAACACACTATACTTGTAAAACAGGTTAACTAGGCAACTTAAAACAGAATAAGTACTAAGTCAAATTCTATGTGGCTTAAAAATATTATTTTAATTAATAAAGGTATAGTATGCCAGGTCTATACCTTATCTACGTATTAATTTATACTTGGTATGCAATACATTACAATATTTGGCGGTCCGAAGTTAAAACTTTCGCGGTTCGAAGTTCGACCTTTCGCGGTCCACCTGTTGCTAACCAGTGCTCTAAAGGGACACATCACGCCTGTAACCCTCGAAAGGGGTACGCCCTAATTTCTGTCAAAGCTGTCATATTGAAGTCGGTTGTACAAAATTTTTAATTTGTTAAGGAGGAATCGACACATCCTAATATATCCTGCCAATCGTATTCATTTCATCGACGGGTTTAGGCAACTTCTAAGATTTTAGAGACTTCTCCATTGACTAGAAATACAACCATTGTTCATCTGTTGTTCTTATTTTTACCAGGAAATATTTCACCCTCATACGTGAATAACACATATTATCCAACCGCTTTCAAAATTGGTTTGAAATTGCTATTTTTATAACGGAAACTCGTTAACGGTCGTTGGATTGGCCTAAAGTTCAAGATATTCTCAATCTCCAAGAGAAGCTAGATCTGATTGCATAAGTGCTTTCGCTACTGGCTGTACGACGGCATGGTCTCTTTGAAGTTGGCGGCTATGCCACCTTTTCATTTTCTCTGTCATCCAAATGTGTACTTAACTATTCAGTTACACTTCCCAGGAGTGATATTTAGTTTTCTGTGACGTTCTTTTGTAGTTCCACTTCTCCATTCTAGCCACTTAGCTTCAAGACTTTGTAGAAAAGTCTTGCAAAGTAGTCTTGTCGAATAATGAAATGCGTCAAACAGATAATTTCCACATTTTCGGAAACCTGAAACGAGGTTTACCTCCCGCGTTGGTTCCAAAGTATCGATGACTAGTTTTAACAGAACTTAGGAAACTGCTTTTTTGGATCTCTTTTTCTCGACTACACTTACCTTCCACTCGATCAGGATTTTTCTCCATACCTCCATTGGGTGTAAAAAGCAACATCTAACGGCTGAGTTACGTGATTTCTGATAGGTGGCAAACAAACAAATCTGATATTGTTTTGGTCACAGGCCAAAAGCAGGACGTCTACAGAAATGTGAGATGACAAATTGTCTCCGATTATAATTTTGGAACCCTCTTGTTCCTTTAATTATGATATGATATGTGTTAAAGAACCAATCGTTGAATATATGCCTGTTAGATAAACCTGAAGGACTATAATTACATCTGTCATCTTTTGTTCTGTAATAATTCCCCTACAGCATTATCTTAAAACATGATAGAGGAGGAACTGGTAGAGCCATGCTGCAGCTATACTGTGGTTGTAGCACGAATGGGTCAGCTCGACCGGGGAAGGACCACGCTCTCACAGAATACCAGCGTAAAATAGCAGCTTAATGCTGCTGTGTTTCGTATGCTGAGTGTAGAGAACAGGATACCCTTTTTACTGGAAACGAGGCCTTCCATCTCACTCCTCAGGGCTGGCAACGAAGATAAATGTAGATGTGTATGGACCACAGCATCCACTTACCATCAGGTGGACTGTGTGTTCGTTTGTCACCCTTATTCTATAAAAAAAGTTTTGAAGGTATTAATTTGCGCTACCCTTCACTAGTTATAACTTTTTTGACTAGGTTCTTCCGATTTGTCTCGTCAAAGTTCTATATATTTTCCGATGGGATATCTCTAATCAACTCTTTCAAAGATTCTTTGTAGGCATTGGCACGATTACAATTATCATTAAATTTTCAAACTTCCCTGCCAATTCCCTCTTACTTAATTACTACTTTCGGTTATTTTTTAGTTGGTAGTTTGATTACTATTAATTTTCCAGTTTTATGTGCAACCCAATTGTTAAACACAGGGCCTATACCTATGCTGGCGAAACTAACTAAAATATACTTAATAAGAATCCCTAAAGAAAAACCTATTATTAATAGATTACTGTGTATATGCTAGATACTATTATTAATAAACGGAACAACGTATTTCTGTGAAAGCTGATAACTAATGGGCTATTTTAAAAAGATAGATAAGCACAGATTATCCAGAAACTAGTAGTTCAAACATTACAACCATAGATAGCGCTAGTTTGCTTATTTGATGCCCTGACATCGATAATATTACGACAAAACCCGTAAACTGGTTATGCGAGCGTTCTACGTTGTGCCGAAAAATGACACAGCGGGTAAGATAAGGACAGGACCGCGGCGTCATTTGCTGGGCGGTGGTCATCTGCTGTGTGATTCTTGCCACAATTGGCACACGTGGGTCCTTCTTCTCTACCCCGAGGGCAAAGGCTCGCTATGTGCTCCCCGGCGCAGCGCAGGTGTACCCGGGCGACCCTCAGGATAGTTTAGGGTAGTGGTGGTTTACGGGAAGGATTTTTACGGTCATATCCCTTTCAGGCCCAAATTTAAAAAACATATTATTGTAATGATTTCTTATATTTACGCGAACATTGCACATGATTAAAACTACTTTTACGGATTTTATCGCGTTTATTTTTACTTTTTTTTTTACTTTCTATTTTTAATTCCCGACGTTTCGGGCGTTCATTTCAAGAGAATGAGGCCACCTGCCTGGGATCCTATAATCAATAAAATTAAAACTAAACCCAAGCATACCACTGCAAGAACTCAAGACATAGTCAGTTCATTTTGCATAGATCGGACCATAAACAATAATTAAAAAAGCTGAAGGTACTCCGGGTTTAACAATGACATCGGGACGTCAGTCATCTCAGTCCCCCGTGACCATGGGTGCTGGAAAGCGCCCGAAACGTCGGGAATTAAAAATAAAAAGTAAAAAAAAAAGTAAAAATAAAATCGATAAAATAATTAAAAGTAGTTTTAAACATATTATTGTATTTGTTTCATGGGGGTGTGTTTAAAGGGCTACAAGGCTCATGTAAAAATTAATAAAAAATCCTAAACACCCCCAAGTTCCGTAACAACCCCTGCACGATTGTGATGTCTGGGCTCAAACTTAAATAGTGCACGATCGTTATGTTATTGGGTTTTTGACTTTTAGTGTGCTTTTTAATATGGAAAACAGCAAGAATTTAAGTACAAAATGTCTTTCATTAAATATATAATCACATGATCAATAAGCAATAATTAAAGGAACACACAACAAATCACTACAATTGTGATCAAAACTAAATCAGTCTACTATTGTTTTATCGGACTTAAAACTGGTATAAATAGGTATTATTTTTTATGGTAAGCAGAAAAAGCAGTTTTGTTTCCTCGAGAAGCACAAGTATACGGCACTTTTTTCGTATCTAAGCTTTGATCGACTCCTACATCCTTCCACTCGGCATGCGCGGGGATTGTCGATAGCTTCAACTCAGCAACTCACAAGCTTCAGCTTGGGAGGTGGTCATAGCCAACATTTTTACGCGGTAGAGCCATGCTGCAGTTATATTAGTATAGTAGTATAGTTGTTGCACGAATGGGTCGGCTCGACCGGGGAAGGACCACGCTCTCACAGAATACCAGCGTCAAATAGTAGCTTAATGCTGCTGTATTTCGTATGGTGAGTGTAGGGAACCGGAGACCCTTTTTACTGGAAAAGAGGCATTCCATCCAAGCCCTCACGGGTGACAACACATCTTCATTTTGATTCGTAATCGAGGATAGATGCAAATGTATATGGGCCACAGCAACCACTTAACATCAGGTGGACTGTGTGCTCGTTTGTCATCCTATCCTATAAAAAAACCTTTTAGTTTGAGATGGTTGATTTGATCTTCTAAACTTTGGCGTGTTCGACTCAAAATTTTTAGCTTGATCGGCATCATTACTTGGAGTTTTTCTACGAATGGGTGTGCTGGTAAGCTCATCGGCTACTTGCATTCTAAAGTCTAGTAAGTCCATGGTTTTGTTGCTTGGGATCTCGGGTGCTGCGCATTCCAATTTGTACAGGCGCCATGCATTACAAACAGCCAGATCAATGAAACGAAGTATTATCTTCAGTGTCCACTTTCTTTTCCGGTATGCATAAATCTTCGGGCAGCAAGTCCTGGCATCTTGTTGGTCCCATCCTCGTTTCACCATTTTCTAGGGTAAGATCCACCAATCAACAGTTTAATATAGTAGTCATTGAGTGTTGGAACATGCTTAAGGGTAGTCTCCTATCCAGGCGAGGATCAATACCACGAAGTATCTCGTAGGTTCTTTCGGCCTGGTCAATATATCCGACAAACTCAAAATTTTGAGAGTATATTTCCTGTACCGTTATAGCGCTGCTATGTGGGTCCTAAATCGCATAAAGGTTCATCTACGGGCGCTGACACTTCTTTTGCTCTGAAGTCAAAGGCAGTGGCCGCATCTACCTTAGTAAGCTTGTTTTCTTTCTTGCCTTTCCATGTTTGACTTCTGACTGTATATCCCTGGGTAACCGAGGGCGTTCCTCAAATTCACGAACATTATTCCAGTCCGTTTCAAAATTCTGGCGCTACTGAAATTCGTACGCGCGCCTCTGGCTACGGGTTCCGCCTCTGCACAAAACTAGCGGCCCGAAATTGCTGTGCTCGTCCGTTTTCACGTGTATTTCTACTCTGATCCGACATTGAGAAAGTTTAAAACGTCTAAAAACGACATTGTCTTCATGAAGGTGCGGTGATATACCAGTGATTGGTCCAGGACGTCTACACCGCCCATATGTCTGTTGTAGCTCGCGATAATTTTCGTTGCGGATACGTCTATGAATGCTGACGTATTTTTGTCCCAGCGCTTCACAAAAGTTGTTACGTCTGCAGACGTGCAATTTGATGCGACTAACACGGCCTTGTTGTCCATCCATTTAATTGCGACGACGTTGTCACAGATGAACTGCTGTGATTCACCGCGCTGCATTGGCAATCAGGTTTGAAATCAATGTTCTTGTGTTCTGGTATTCGGTTCATCATTAGCGTCGCTGTGCCGTACAATCCAATGGTATTGAACTTTTCAAGCAAAGGTATCGACGAGAAGAAGCGATCAAAGTAAATAGAGTTTCCTTTTGGAATCGACTTCAAGAGATGTAAGATTACCACGACTGTGGCGTGGTTTTTTCGATTTCATTTCTGTTGGAAGTCGCCACTTCGAAGCTTGTTGACTAGTTTGCATGTCAAACTCGTAAACCCACCTCTAGTCATCAGTAACAATGCGTTTCATGAATGTTGGGTTGGAATTGACTTGTTCTAGCATGTACTCAGCGACTCTTATGCGATTGAGTTTTTGGAGAAAATTCAGATCTTTTGGGTTGTTTCATACCTGAGTGAATATTTAAAATTGTACAGATCGACTCATGAGATCCAGAAAGTTCGGCGGCTATCTCTCTCAAGCTTGAATGAGGATTATCAGTCACTATTTCTTTCACTTTTGCGATGTTAACTTCAGTTCAGGCGTTGATGGCCTACCAGAGCGAGGCAAATCTTCCATTACATCTCGACCGCTTTTGAACGCTTTGTACCACCTATAAGCACGTGTTTTTGATAAAGTCGATTCACAGTAAGCCTCCTGTAACATTTTCAGTGACTCCATGGCGTGAAATTCCATTGGCGATGCAAAGTTTAAGACAAGCTCTTCGTTCGATGTTTTTGTCCATTGTGAAATTCGCAATAGGTACTAGATATGATATAACTGAAAACAGTACTGTATTTAATATACTCGTACATTATAGATGTAACTCAAACTTCGCGCCAAAATGGAAAACAGTTGTGCCAATCTCACAACAACAAAAAAATGAATTTGGAACCATAAAAAAATCATCTATTTGCGATATCTTTTTGACTGAATGTGCGCTCATTATAAAGTAACCCCCTTCAATGTTCACGTGACGGGCAACTGCGGAAAATTGTGCGTGGCCCGACACGCATTTGGCCAGATTTTTTAAAATCATTTATAAAGTAAACATAACATCGTAGATTCTACTAAAAAAAATATTTTGGACTTAACTTTAATGCCTTTCTTGGTGTCGTATTCCTTTGTTTGGCGATCCACACCTTGCCAGAGATTTCCACGCTACAAATATGACTACGAACTTCCACGGGTTATAATTGTTTCGTCCAGACTATTTTCTATTTGCAAGTTGCTCATACCGGCAATCGTTTTACAAATTGGTATTTACTTAGCGCCGCAGGCGATAACTACTGGACTTAAATTTCATTTTTTAATAGAGTCTACAAAGGCATAAAGGCACAGGTAAACATTATATTCTGCCTACACGTTCGACGTTACGTTGTGTAAGTTCGAATCGAAATTTTGAATACAATTCTAAATCTTTATTTGCATTGCTGTTGGTTTTTTTTTTAAATTGAGTCGAGGAAAGTAACCAAATATGGAATACCATTTTGTTTTTGTGTTATAAATAAAAGATATTCTAAATCAAAAACTTTTATTCTTATTTATTATCAGTCATACATTTGCGCTTAACTTATTGACAGTTTTGTTTTACATATATTAATTTAAAATATAAAATTTTCAAAAAAACTAAATCAACATAAAGGACTAATTATGGAATAGGTACCCAAATATGGAATACTATAAAACTATGAATTATAAACCTTTACTTTTATGAGGTACTACAGGAACTTTGGTCAATTTTAAAAATGTAAGTAATTTAATACTTGCAAAAATCACGGATCCATGTATCGAACTCTGCACCTGCGCAATCACCATGTGCCCAGAGCCCGCACATGAGGCATTTGATCCATGTCTCTACTCTAGTATCTTGAGAAAACAAGCTATTACAGAACATAAACTCTGCATCTTCTGAGTCAGGAGCTTCCAGTCCTATGACGGCATCAGGCTCACTGTCTGTGTCAAAATGTATTTCTTCTTCATCGTCTGAATCAATGGGACTATTTTGAGACTTGGTTTTCTCTTTTTGCTGTTTTCCTTTAGTTTTCTTTTCTTTCTGTTTTTTATTTTTTGGTTTTGATAACTTATTCTCTTTTTCTTTTTATTACTGTCAATGAGTTGATTTTTATGTGGAGAAGATGTTATTATTTCAGCAATAGTTGTTCTTCTTCCTCTATTAGAAATCTTTCTTTTTTTATCTGGCACTGGGCTGATGTCATAGGGCGACACCAAATTTAGAGTACTGCGAGAAAGCCTGGAAGTTGAGGGGGTTCTGGATCGAATTCTGTGTCTTGTCTTGGTGTGACAGAAGTTTCAGTTAAAATCAAACTATTATCAGGTGGTCTTGCATCGTTTATTGATGATTCTTTCGACTCGGAGCTTGATTTTGTTGGAGTGGCATTGATTGTGCAACCATCTTTTACTGCATCTTGTTGGGCAGCAAGGTAGTCGATCTCGCTGAATATGTTTTTATTCAATGGCCAAAGGCCTGTAACGCGAAAGCTATTCTCTGCAATTTCCCCTGTTTGCACTTTCAAGTAAGATCTGTCAAATAGTTCAACAATGTCATAAGGACTTAGTGGCCTGTTACGGTTTCTTATCCACATTAGTATTTCTCTGCTATAATAGGTTTTTAGTGGTCCCATAAAAGTTTTATCCAAAGGTTTCAGTTTGTTGGTTGTGTGTGGAGGTATGGAAACAGTTTCAACGTTGTTCTCCCTTGCAATATCAATAACTAATAAGTTTAATTATACAAAATATTCCTACACTTCCTTAATCTATAAGCCATATGCTAATTCAGTGTCATATTTACAACTCTTTTAGAACATAAAATTATTTTTAGTATGAACTATTACGTAACTGCGTATTAAAAACTTCTAGAGAGTTCTACGATAAGACGCCGCTGCGATTGGTCGATTTTTCTTAATGATGTTTCGTGTGTGAGAATAATGTCCATCTAAGATTAACAAAACTTTCGATTCTGGGGTCGGGTTGGTGTGTTTGATGAAATGCTTAAACCAATCTGTAAATATTTGCATTTGTATCCATCTTGATGAATGTGCAACGCCTACTGCACCTGGAGGACTGCCTCTCATTAGCTGTTCGCTCATATTTTTCCTGTGAAAAATGATGTTAGGGGGCACAAAATGGCCAGTAACGTTCATAGCAATAACTATTGTCATTAATGACCCTCTTTCAGCTGAAGTAAGTGAAGCTATTTGTTGTTTTCCTTTGTGACCGATAACTTGGGGTATCTTGGTTTGAACCACTGTAAGCCCAGATTCGTCGACGTTATATATGCGATTCGGAGTATAGTTACCCTTAGTGTAGACTTCTTCAAGGAGATCAAAAAAAGCGTCTACTTTTTCTTTACTGAAACCAAAAGCTCTTGCAAAAAACGTGCCAGTGGGTCTTCTCATCGAAAGTTTTTGCTTACGACGGTTTAAAAATAGCTTTAACCACTTTTTTCCAGCCATTCCGGACTCACCAAACGGATTCTCCAAATGATTGCGTTTGGCCGACATATACGCCATTCTACGAACATCATTCCTCGTCAAACCTTGAAACTTGCTCTCCATCTTTAAAATATATTCTACTAGTGGATTTTCGAGCTGATCACCTAAAACAGATTTTCTTCCTAATTTAGTGGCTGCAGCTTCTTCTGGAGAAAGCTCATTAGGGTTCCGTAGTCAACTAGGAACCCTTATAGTTTCGCCATGTCTGTCTGTCCGTCCTCGCTTAATCTCTGTGACCATTAGCACTAGAAATAATAATAAAAAATTAATAATAATAAATAATAAAAATAAAAATATGTGTATCAATCACGCCGACAAAGTGGTAAAATAAAAATTGGAAAAAAATGTTTTATTAGGGTTGGCCCCCCTATATGTAAAGTGGGAAGTGATTTTTTTTAATTTCAGCCCTAACGTGTGATATATTGTTGGAAAGGTGTTTAAAAATGAATAGGGGTTTACTAAAATCATTTTTTGATAATGTCAATGACTTCGGAAATAAACGCTCCAAAAGTAAAAAACAATGTGGCCCCCCCCTCTAACTTTTGAACCATAAGTTTAGAAAATATGAAAAAATAAAACTATTATTTATGGATTTTATCGCGTTTAATTACTTTAATTTATTTTTATTATTATACAGAAGTTTCGGGTGCTTTACAGCACTCATGGTCACGGGGGGGGGGGACTGTGAAATTAAAGTAATTAAACGCGATAAAATCCGTAAATAATAGTTTTATCCAAAATATGAAAAAAATCTGAAAAGTAGAACTTTATAAGGACTTTCTAGGAAAATCATTTTGAACTTGGATGGAAACACCCACCCACTACCGGGAGCAGTTGCAGGAGCGCGGAGCGCTGCTGGAGCGCGAACATAATAGATACCATTTTTAAACTCATAAGTGGGAACACTTATTGTGACGGACGGAAAACTACGGAACCCTACACTGAGCGTGGCCCGACACGCTCTTGGCCGCTTTTTTTCTGACACAATCGAAAAAAGTGGTTCTTGGTACATCAAAGTGTTTTGCTGCTTTAAAATAACCCATTTTTTTTCTCTCTGACCATTCGTATAGCTTCTGTCATGTGATCTGTGTTCCACTCTTTTCGTTTTCCTTTTGAACTTGAAGACGTCGTTCTAAAACCGAAATATTAAATTTGAAATCTAGCCAGATGATATTGTGGTATCCAAAATTTGGAACAGTCCATATTTAGACTCCACGGACTGTCCATATTCGGAAATTTCAAAGTAATCAAAACGTATATCAGATTTTTTTTACTCATCAAGATCAGACAAGAAAAAAAACCTCTAAAGCAATCAAACAAACATGAATAAGCATACTCATAATATAAATATTATTTAATTGAGAAATTCTTAGTTTTTACGTACCTTAAAAACTTTTCTCACAGCGCCAAAACAAAACACTCTCACTGCGGCCACAACATTCCCCCGACTGACAAGTGGAAAACTGTACGCGAGTATAATGATGGAAAGAGACAGAAAATCACTGTCTTGCAACTTGGAGTATTCGTTTCCGAGAAATGGCGGTATTCCATTTTAGGGATACTATTCCATATTTGGTTACTTTCCTCTACGAATAAGGTTTGATCGATTCAGAATTCAATTCTGTAGGGAAAAAGATCGCTGTTCACCTCAGATGAAGTAAAACGAAATTAAATCGCACTTAGAATAAAAAACTGTACCCAATTTTATAATTTTGTGCGAGTCTGAGAAGTGTTGCAACTTTTAAAAAACCCTGAAAATTTAATAAAATACTACTAATATAATAGTTATATGCGACGCGTTTAATAAACTTCAACAATTTGACAGTTCAAAAAGAGATGATGAAGTAGGATCATTTAAAAAAATCTTCTAATTGAACGTTCAGCTTGTAAGCTGTTAGAAAAAAATACAACAAATGTGATTTAAAATATGTTTATTAAAAAATGATAAAAATCGTATTAAATAAGTTCAAATAAAAAAAACCTTTCCATCGAATTAAAAGTATACTTTTTTAGATGAAATAAAAAGTATACTTTAATAAATACAAAACATTATAAATATTGACTTGTAACAGAATATTATACATAGGGTATAAATTGTTAACTTATTAGTATAGAATAGAATTTTTTTAAGTTCAATATAGATTACATGAAATTCTTATTGAACGTCATTTTCTACCTTACCACCACTGTTGTTTGGTTTTCCCTCTAAATTTAAATTCTCCATGGATAGTTTCTTAAAATGACTTCGCAAATTGCGTGTATATCGAAAACATCTTGGGAGGGAAAACACAATCCACTTTTGTTTCTTGCTACACAACTTGCTTGTTTACAACTTGTGGAAATGATTTCCTTTGGAAATGTTTTCCTTTAGATAGTAAGCTATTGGGGCACTTTTCTCATTTTAATATTTTAGAAATATAGTGTACAGTACTACCAGTGATTTTACCGTTTTAAATCATCGAATTTCGCAATATGCAGCAAGCTAGTAAGTTTTGCCGTATCTTCTTGTATTTTTACGGAGAAATTAGATATATTGGGGGATATTCCTGTTCTTCGTGAAGAGGTCGTGGTTGAATTGATAGTTGAAGCAGCGGTGTACTTACAATTTAAAAGTTCCCAGTGAATAAGCATTTTAATTCAAGATGGCAAAGCAGTCTTCTATACGCTCCTATTAACATGCGTACATTTGGTTTGTCGTTAAAACCACCTTGCATCGTAATAGAAGAAAACATAATTTCTAAGTGGTTCTGGCTAATCTTTTAGACCGGAGTGTAAAGAAGTTTTCACTTTCTATCAACTTGTGATAAATAATTTTTAAACTTTCTATGTTTATTACAATACCCAAAAACGGTAATTACATAAACCAAAGTCGGGTAATTACATAAATCGGACGGCCGTCCTTCATAACTTTGCTCTTGTTAACCGATTTCACTTCAACATTCAATACATACAGTAGAATCCCGATTATCCGGATCAAATAAAACCAGAGGTTTTCCGTATAATCGAAAATCCGGATAATTGATTTCAAAGTCAAAACAAATTAAAATTTTAATCAATTTTTATTATGTATAGTACGTTCGCGTTAAGAAAATAGTGAGTCATCAGTGCAACTACAGGGTAAAGGTGTATTCACAGTGGAGTAAAAATTCTTTTTTTTTTCAAACATTTAATTAAGTTAAATGGAAACAAATTTTCTTAAAATTACTTAAATCACTAATCTCCAGTTACATTAATTATGAAAGAATTTTGTTCTGCAAGTTCCATGATGTCATCCAAATTCCACATGGTATTTTCTTAGCGTATCGCGTGGTCGCAGCACTTCTTCCAACGATTAGCGTCTATTAATGCTATTGCCTCATCTATCTGCCGATTAATTTTTGTGTCACTCATTTTGAACGTGGAGTTATTGGCACCAACATAATTTTTTATTTGGGCCCAAACCAATTCAATTGGATTAAGTTTGCAACGGTAAGGCGGTAGGCGAAGAATTGTAATGCCATTACTTTTGGCAGTCTCATCTATTAGGGGAGATACGCAATGAAACGGACGTTTAACTTTGGAGTATTATTAGATACTGTAATTAAAATCTTAGAAACTCGTTATCTGTCCTTAAAAAATTCGGAGGTATTATAGTATTAGTAATACAACATCTTTTATGAAAATGAAATTTATTTTAAGAAATATTTTAGGTTTTTTTTTAACTCGCTAATTGTCCGTTTCATGACACAGAAGCATTGAACAGGACAAAGGGTGTCTTGAAACGGACTAGGAACCAATGTTATACTTTTTGCTATATAAATACGCAAGGTTTCACAAATTATTTTATTTTACATTATAACCCTTATTTAAACAAATCAAACACTTTGGTACAAAACAAAATGAGATCAAAAAATTTAACAATTACAAAAAAAACGACATTAAATAATTAGACTCTTCTTAATCTTCTAACAAAAATGAGATCCTGGCTTCATTATGGTAAAACAATATAAGTAGGTATCAAAAATATTCCTTAATAATATTAGGACTAACTAAAAATCATAAACTGTTTACTTATATCCTATAATTTTATACCCATACATTAAAAGTAATCA